GAAATGACATAAATGATAATGCCCATGTTATGTAATATGAGAGCTAGGGGTATAGTTGGCATGCCAAGAGTAGAGGGTCTACGCGGTCCTTTGGGACAAATTCTACGTGGTCTTTCGGGACGTATATGTATTCTCTGGAACATGTATGAGGTCTTTGAGACACTTACTTGATCCTTTGTATATGTATATGATTCTTAAAGAATTTATATGTGGTCCTTATGGACAATCTTATATGGCACTACGGTGCATTTCTACGCGGCACTACAATGCATTTCTACGCGGCACTTCGGTGCAAATTCTACGTGGCACTACGGTGTAAATTTATACGAGCTGTGGTGACAGCATAGTGCACAACCTCACAGTACTCACATACCTTGAGTTCTTAGTAATGTACATGGGCCTATAAAAGACATCAAAAGTATTTACAAGATTCATATGTGATACTGTGTGTATTCCTAAGTGAAATGTATTTGTTATATGAGATTGGTAATTATTTATGCAATGGTGTGATTTAGAGTTTATATTATATGCTGATATAGTATATAAAGAAATTAGTGATGATAAAATTAGAAATGATAAGCATGTTAATGATGTTATGTTACATGATATGTGCATGTATGTATATATTACAGAAAAGAATATATGATTTGGTATGATAAGGTAATATCAAATGTTCATGCATTGTAGAAGTTACAATTAGCATATAATTATGTTTTATATGCCTCACTAAGTCAACGACTTAGCGTGTGATTGTTTCACGCGTAGGTTCCGAGAAGAGAAAGATTGGTAAAAGTTATGCAAGACAGGTCAGTTTCTCCTTTCCAAAGATCAGATCAGAAAAGAAATGTATAGTATGTATTTTGTAATAAGGATAGTGGTTGGCATGTAAATAAAGGATTAAATCTGATATGTTTTAATCGGTTTTGTAAAATCAGATGTTTAAATTTGGTAATGTTTTAAATATGTATAGGTAAATGGTAATTTTATACGAATGAAACCTCAGATTTTTTTTATAAATTTATAAGTATTTTTACGGAAGTACTGTAGCAGTATTATAGCAGCATTATAGTAGGGTATCGATTCTCTGTAGCAGGGGAATCGGTTCCCCTATTTGAATATGTAAAATTTTAACATTTGGGTATTGTAGCAGGTACTGTTCATAAATACGTTTTTGATTTGAAATTTTATACGAAACACAATTTAATAGAATATCATGGTATTTTCCTAAAATGAGTTCAAATGTTTTGATATATTGTAAGAAAAATGTTTTGAAAAGTCAATGTGACATCTCAGACTCGTATCCGGATCGGGTACGAGTTGAGGTGTTACAGTGCTAGTCCATTTACATTAGTTTACATAGACACAATACATAAGCCCACTCTTTTATTTCAAATATATATGCATTAGTGATAGTTCATTTATATTAGGGTTTGTGGTTTAGGGTTAGTGTTTATGCTTTAAAGTTTATAATTTATGGTTTAAGGTTTCTATAAACTATATACTTTATTACTTTATATAGTTTATGCATAGTGTTTCTATAAACTATATAAGTAATATACTTTATATAGTTTATATATATATATATATATATATATATATATATATTGTTTATATATAATATACATGGTTTATACATACATATTATATAAAATTATTTAATAAAATTATTTAAATGTAAATTATATAAAACATGATTAATTAGGTGTTAAATAATTAGTATGTCACATTGCATATTATATGGTTCATAAATAGTAGTACATGCCATATTAATTTTATTTGCATAATTAATATTTTAGTTGCATGTTAGGTTAATTCACATTAATAGTTTATCTATTTTGTTGTTATGAATAAGTAATAATAAAACCAAAAAATAAGTTCATTTCCAATAGTGTTAGTTCATTTACATTAGTTTACATAGGCCCAATACATAAGTCCACTCTTTTATTACAAATATATATGCATTATTGTTAGTTCATTTATATTAGGGTTTATGGTTTCTATAAACTATATACTTTATTACTTTATGCATAGTATTTCTATAAACTATATAAGTAATTTACTTTATATTATATATATATATATATATATATATATATATAGTTTATATATACTCTACATGGTTTATACATATATAGTTCAGGGTTTAGGGTTAATGGTTAAATATTTAGGGTTTATAATTTAGAGTTTAGGGTTTAAGGTTTTTATAAACTATATACTTTATTACTTTATATAGTTAATGCTTAGTGTTTCTGTAATATATATATATATATATATATATATATATATATATTAATATAAATTATAATTTATAAACTATATATTTTATATAGTTTATACATATAGTTTATATACATACATACATACATACATACATACATACATACATACATACATACATACATACATACATACATACATACATACATACATACATACATACATACATACATACATACATACATACATACATACATACATACATACATACATACATACATACATACATACATACATACATACATACATACATACATACATACATACATACATACATACATACATACATACATACATACATATATACATACATACATATATATAGAGAAAATTGAAAGTAATTAAAATGTATACAGGATTAAATTGCATCGAATTGTAAAAATTGAAAATTCAAGAAGATATTTACAATTAAACCATGACTAAAATGAAAGAAATCAAAAATCAAATATAAGTGGAAAAATGATGATTGTTGGAGGAGCATGAGCCTAATTAACCCAAAATATCTTTCCAAATAAAATCTCAATTCTCAATTTCCCCCCAAAATTTCTCAATTTCTCAGTAAATTCTCAATTTCTCTATATTCTCAAAATTTCCTTAAAAGTTCCCAAATAAAATCAAAAAATTTCACACAAAAAAATATTTATTTTAATAAGATTTCTCCCACTACTCACTTTGAATAATATATATATATATATATATATATATATACTATATTAATATAAATTATAGCTTATAAACTATATACTTTTTATAGTTTATACATATATAGTTATATATATAGTTCATATAAACATAATATATATATATATATAATTTATAATAATTATATAGTTTATATATAATTTATATATGAACTTATATTATATATATATATATTATATTTTTTTAATTTTTTAAATGAATGCAATTTACTATATTTTTCATTATTTCTTCACATTTTGCATTTATTTCAATTTAATCCTTTTTTGTTTTTTAAATTTATTTCAATTTTAAGTCTTTCACTTTTATATGTATTCAATTTAGTCCTTAAATTTATATTTGCATCTTCAATTGGCCCATTGTTAGTTGTTATTTATTTTTGTAACTGGCCCGTAACTTTTTAAACGTATTTAATTTAGTCTTTTTTATATTAATTTAAACCTCACATTTTAAATTTATTTCGATTTAGTCGCTTACCTATTTGTGTTGTTTAATTTATATTTTAATATTTTATTTATAATTTTACATTTCTTCAATTTTGTCCTTAAATTTATATTTTTTACAAAATTGATCCATGGATATTTATTTTTCTCTTAATTTACTCGAAATCATATACAATTACAACTTGCAATTCAATAATCACGAAAGATGACAAAATAATTAATCCAAAAATAAAAACGACCTGACCTAAACTCAATCCGTATCCGGTAAACATCCGACTTGAATTTTATATGTCAATGATGTGACCCGATTTGAACAAGATCCGACTGAAGTCTACCCGAACCTGAATTAACCTGATCTTTATCTGCTTCGGACCTGAACTGACATCGATCCGAACTGAAAATGACATGACCTGAACCCGATTTGGATCTGGTGTTAAATCAATCTGAAAATAAACCGAACTGATTTGACATGACCTGAACCGATCTGGATATGGTGTCAAATCAACTTGAGTTGACTTGTACCCGATTTTACCCGACCTGCCAAGATCCGACTGAAACCTGTCTGATTACCTGATTTTACAGCCTTAGAGAAAATGCAACAAACCAGCCAAGGAGCTAAGCCAATGTTAGACACAGAATAATAGCATACCTCTCCTCGATTGGTTAAGAAAATAACATCACCACGGCTTCCCTTACGATGCTATGTCCGTCACTTTTGGGGATAAGAATGATTGTTTCCCCTTCTAAAGAAGCAACATTTGCACTTCGACCAAAACCTCTGTACAACTCTCCATACTGGAATAAATTGAAAGGGCATATTGAAGCACTGAACAGTTGTTCTCGAACAGGTACTCCAGAGGTTGCCACAGCCCAACAAGGTCGCAGTACCTCCATTGATCCACTAACAACTAGTTATCGGAAGAAACAATAATGAGCTCTAAGTATAAATAATAAAACAAACATAGAAAATATTCAAAAATACTTATAATGACAAAACCGTATTGAAATTTTAAGAGATTAAAGGTAAATAATAATAAAATAACAAATTATTCAATCTTCAATTTAAAATCTTAAAACTAATAATTAATTTATCAATTTTTTAAAAATTAAAAACAACATAAAAATCAAGCTTAATTTATATAATCCAGATTAATAAAAATTTAATAGATATTTAAACTAAAAAAAATAAAAAAGGTCAGTATTTAATGAATTTAATTTAAGAATTATCTTAAAATAATTTAAAAGAAAAAATGAAGACCTTCCACTATTCATGTGGATTAGGTCTCTAATTTAAACATGACCCATCCTTCCTGGTTACAAATGATTTTTTTTTTCTATAAATCAACAAAAAATCAAATTAATGAAAAAATCGAGGTCTTAGACAAAAGTAAACGGCGTCGTATCTTCCGTAAAAACAATTGACTAGGAGGACTTTTTGTCAAAAGAAAAACTGCTTAACAAATGTAAGCCATCGGATTCAAGAGAGAGAGAAAGAGAGTTAACGGTGGGGAACACAAAGCGGGGCCAAACTCCTTCCCCCCCATAAATCGTCGCTCTTTCCTTTCCCTTTCTCCATAAACTCTCTTCCCTTACGTCGTCCATTGATAATTTCATTTTCTTTCTGATTTCAAAAACACACTCAAATACAAAAACAGAGCCCCCAAACTACCATACCCCCCCCCGGCAAAACGCCACCGTATAAGCATGAGCAGCTCATCCGCTTCCTCTCGCAAGGTTCGGTTCCTCCTCCCATTACTTCACACTCCTTTGATTCCTTTTCAATTCGGATTTTGTTTTGTTTTAATGGGTATTTGATTTTTGTTTGTTTGGCTTTGTTTAGGCACTTAGTAAGATTGCTTGCAATCGCCTGCAAAAAGAGCTGGTAGAGTGGCAGGTCAACCCTCCCTCTGGTTTCAAGCACAAAGTCACCGATAATTTTCAAAGGTTTTAGATTGTTTATCCCTTTTTTTATTTTCTCTAGATTAGTTCTTTTGAAAAAAAAAATCGATACTTAATCTTTTTGTTGTAAAAAAGGTGGGTAATTGAAGTCAATGGAGCTGCGGGAACTTTGTACGCCAATGAGACCTATCAGCTTCAGGTGGATTTCCCTGAACATTACCCTATGGAAGCCCCTCAGGTTTGATTTTTATTCAAAATCCCCTTTTTTAGTATTCTTTTCTTTTGAATTCCTTTTAATAATTTTGCTCTTTTGGGTTATTATTGGCAGGTGATATTTCTTCAACCAGCACCTCTCCATCCACATATTTATAGCAATGGCCATATTTGTTTAGGTATGAATTTATATTAGTTTTCTATAAATATGCTCTATTTTTTAGCAATTTTCGTTTGTTCTTGTGTTTTCTCATAGATTTTTATCTTTTATATAAATATATATGCATTGCGGTAGACATGTCAGGATCTGATTCTCACTTTGCTTTCATTTAAATTTTTATCCATTTATCCTTTGAAAATGATGGGGTTTCGGGGATCCTGTTGTTACCTTTAAAAATGTTTCCCTTTACATTGTTAAAAGAATCGTTGATGCTTATGTGAGATTATGTTAGCTAATATCTGGATATTATTGTATCATTTTTCTACCATCCTATCCTTTTCACCAAAAAATATATAATGCGTGGAAAATAAAAGGTTGAAGTCCAATTTCCAAGAATCCAGATAGGGAAAAGAAAGTTAAAGATGGTTGCTTTGAGTGGTATAGATGTTCCTTCCTTTGAGAAGGAGCTTTGCAGGACTTGAATGTGGGGTGATGCTTTGAGTGTATAACTATATTGTGCCGTTTGAGAACTATGCTTTACCCTTTTCTTCTCCTTGGTCATGGAGGTGGGGTGATGCTATTGCCTTTTACATTAACGGGTGATCTTAGGTTATTTGTGTTGCATTCTCTCGAAGCACATAGCTCCATTCACAAGGTCTTGGCTTGATTTTTAATTCTTTTTGTGCTTCATTCAAATGGACAAGGTGGGGATAAAATAGCTCTTGGGAAATGAGCGTAGGATAACATTTTTTTATACACTTGCCGTACCTTTCCAACATATGTTTGCCAAATTCAAAGCGTAGTTGGTTTTGTTAATGCAACAAATATTTAAAATTCAGATGCTCTCTCTCTCTCGCACACTCACATGTATGTGCTATCTTCATTGCTTAACTTTTGACAAGACGGGTATAAACATTTTTGTTCTGTTTTATTTTTGTAGATATCTTATATGATTCATGGTCCCCAGCCATGACTGTTAGTTCTATCTGTATCAGCATTCTCTCCATGCTATCAAGCGCAACTGCTAAGGTTTGGTTACACATTCTATTTTGATTTTCTGAGTGCCTTATGACATTCTTGTTGACCATCCCTTAGCCATGCATAAGGCAAACTGCTGATTTGTTATTTGGGGCTAAAATTTTCCAAACTGGGATGGGTACTATTGTTCTTGTAAGTTGTATATCATGAGCATGTCCTAAACGACATCAGATTATATCATGAGGCATCCCACACACCTTTTAATACTATTATTAATCATGTCTCGCAGCAATGTCCTGAAGACAACGACCGCTATGTAAAGAACTGTAGAAACGGTCGATCTCCAAAGCAGACCAGGTGGTGGTTCCATGATGACAAAGTTTAATTGGCATCGGCATCTTACTGCATCTACTAGTTTTAATAATTATAGATTAGACAAACGGATTCCACTTTTAAGGAAAATCAAAACAAAATGAGAATGCATTTTTTCGAATCAAAAGTTAAATGCTCGATAACTCCTGTAAATGATTATATGCTGGTATTTTCGTAAGAGGAAGAGAAAAGACTTTCATTGTTGACTTGTAAGGAACAAAGCACTCTCAACGAATGGTGTTTAACTCATATGAGAGATGCTTGGTGCATTGGAAGCACTGAGCACATGAATGAGAAACCATATCATTCTGAAAAACGTATCTTTATTTCAAGTTTATGAGCCTTTGTTTCATATATAAGCACACACAAACACACATACACACACTTGGATCACTATCAGTTTGTTTAATTTGCTTTCCAAACGAAAAAAAGGAGAACTTTTATAATGAAGATTCAATATTTAACCTGTGTCAATGAGCGTTTATTAGCAATTAAAAAGGGGGGGTTTGCTTGACACGGAAAGAGTATACGGAAACGTTCCGTGTTCCAATAAAAAGAGAAGGCAAAAGAAATTTAAGGCTAGAATTTTACTCAACAGAGTATACGATTTTGTTTTGTATTCCTTCAGTGGTTCTAAGGAAAATTCTAATGCATGTTACTCCACAATGAAAGGTCAACTGTGTTCTGCAAAACTACTTTGGAAATTAGCTCAGTATTTCAGACCAAGATCTTCAATATCATGAGGCTCGTAAGAGACATGAGAACCTAGTGTTCGTACTTTCTTCTTTGAGAGTCTCAGACACATGAAAATATAATGTTTTTCTATCACACCCATTTCAAGGGAAAAATGGCCTAGTAATGTAAGAGAGATTTTTTTAATTCTCAATATAGTCTAACCTGGAGATTATTTCTTCATTTAGGGTGAATTGCACAATATCAACTTAAAGACGTCAGATGCTCCAGGCGTCTTCAGGCAAATGAAGAAGATCCCACGACTGAATGACGGCTTCAGGAAAATAAAGAAGACCTCAAACCCTATTTCAAAAAATAATATGGTAGATTATATGAGAAAATTATTTTTTTCCGTAACCCTATATGGGCGAGGAAGCTCATTTCAAGGGCTCTGTTTTTAAGAACAAAGGAATTCATTGAATTTTAATGAACACCATTTTGTAACTGTAACTAGTACTATATTGATGTGATTATAGTGGAATGATGAGATGTTAACAACTGATTAGGTTCAGTAACTTCGTCATAAGTCTTGGCATTATTTACTTTGCTGACCGTATGCAATAAATAAAAGAAGCAGCTAGGCAATGTATGGTCCATGATATTCAACACAGGGCGGTTGAAAAGTGCGTGAATGCAAAGCACCAATATCTTCCGTGCAATTTCCTCATGACTCTATTTCAGATTAAGCAATTTCTAGTTTCTTCATTTTCACAGTTGAGTCAACCCAATAGTCTCCGCCCTGTTTCTTAATATAGTAACCAAGCTGCTTATAAACCCGCTTCAGTTCCTCATTTCTCTTGCAGCTGAGTTCTCTCCTTTGTATTGAAATATGGCTTCTTTGTTGAAAGAGCTTCCTTCCATGTCTACCATCCTTGCTGCCTATGCTTCCCTCTCAGCGATGGCAATGTTAATCCGTACCATACTGAACGAAATGATCCCGAAACCGATGCAAAAGTTCATCAACTCGAAATTCTCCGATCTTATATCCAACTACCAACTACTTCTCTTCTAATTTCACCTTCATCATTGAAGAGCGATGGCAAGCTGTTTACAACGAAACGTTTCGAGCTGTTGAGGTCTACCTTCCGACCCGAATAAGCCCTGTGACTGATAAACTTCTCATCGGCTCCAATGACATCAATAACCCGACATCGCCGCCGAAACGAAAGATCCCTTCAGATTGTAAAATCATCGATGAGTTCAAAGGTATGACCTTGGAGTGGACGTTGTACGTTAAGGAATCGGAGAAGTACTACATCCCTGATAAAAAGACCTATCACTTGAAGTGCAAGAAAAGAGTAAGGGAACTTGTTGAACAAAGGTATTTTCCCCACATAGCTAAGACGGCTCAAACAATATTGAGCAAGAGAGAGAGAAGCTCAACATCTACACTTATAACCAAGACCGTTCGAGGTGGGAATCGGCTGTTTTCAGGCATCCTGCGAGGTTTGAGACTCTGGCTATGGAGCCAGAGCTGAAGCAGTTCATAAAGGATGACCTCGACTCGTTTGCGGCACGCAAGGATTTCTTCGAAAACGTTGGCAGGGCTTGGAAACGTGGGTACCTTTTGTTCGGTCCTCCAGGGACTGGTAAATCTTCTCTGGTTGCTGCCATTGCGAATTACTTGAGCTACAACGTGTATGATCTCCAGTTCCAAAGTGTTCGAAATGATGCCGATCTCCGGCGTTTACTTACATCAACCACAAACCGGTCTATTCTTCTCATTGAAGACATAGATTGCAGCACAAAGATCGCAAAAGATAGAGGCAAGGTTAAAGAGGACCAAAACAAGGAAGACAAAGACAGATCCGATCGTCCTTCGTCTATTGATCCCGGAGTAAGTACCCGATTAACCTCATAAAGTTAATAGTAATTAATTTAGTTAATGCTGAATTATTTGTTAGGTGACACTGTCGGGACTATTGAATTTCATCGATGGACTGTGGTCGAGCTGCGGGAACGAAAGGATCATAATTTTCACGACGAATCACAAAGAGAAGTTAGACCCTGCGTTGTTGCGTCCGGGGAGAATGGATGTGCATATTCATATGGGATATTGTACGCCAACAGGGTTCAGAAAACTTGCGACGACGTATCTCGGAATCAAAGACGATAAATTGTTCGACACCATCGATGATCTGATTCAGATCGCTGATGTTACTCCAGCTGAAGTGGCACAACAATTGATGATCAAAAGTGATGACCCTAAAGCTGCACTTCAAGGTCTCATTGAATACCTTGACATGAAAAACGATAAAGCTGGGGAAGATGAAGTGATTAAAGAAGAAGAAAAAGAAGGGAAAACAAAGGATGAAAATGACAAGAACGATAGAAAACAAAGGATCAAACTTGACGAGAGTGAAACTGGTTCCATATATCTTACTTAGGTAATATTATGTATTTTTCAAGCAGGTGGGTCTTAAGTTAGATGTCTTTATCTGCAAGTAATGGTCATATGTTCGTATGCTATGTAATCGTGTCTTTTTATAATGTCTTTGGAATGTTATAATGCATTAGCTTTCGTCAGCTGGTATTTTATTCGTCTATCTGACATGTCATGATTTAAAATGATATTGCATTATTTTAAAATATTTTTTTTAGATATTATACTTCTAAAAATTACGGAATAAATTCTAAAATTTTAATTTAGTTAAAAAATAGATATTACGCTGTTAGTTGACATTAAATGCTCTCTAAATAAACTGTTTTTAAAATTATAATGTTAAGATTTTTTTAAATCATAAAATTTTAATAAAATTATTTATATTTCTCATTACTTACACTCTCACCCTGCCTTTAGCCTATAATAAAAATGAGAAAATCAACTCAAAGATTCAAAAATAAGTGTAGATCGATAAAATAATCAAATAACTATTAATATGAGAATTGGCGATAAATTCAATCCTAAAAAATAAAAAATAAAAGTAAATTAAAACGTATTAAACTAACAAATGAAAACTTCAATGATTTACATAACTAATAATTAAAGACTTATTAAAAAATAAATCTGCAAAATAGATATGCAAAATAAATACTATAGATATATCGAATAGAAAAAAAAGGAGAAAGAACAGAGGGTGGAGGAAGACATGAGAGGAAATAAAAGGTACTTATAACTGATCTTTAGGCTGTTGATATCAATGGATGACTAAATTTACTAGTTTTTATCAATAACAAATTTAAATAAGAGAAAAAGAAGGGTTACTCGTCAATATTATCTATTAATTCTTTATTATATTATAATAAATATTATTATTTTTATATTATATATAATCTTTAAATAAAAATATCAAACATAAAACTAATAAATTTTATATACAAATTTTCAAAAAAAAAAGATTATATACAATTTTTATCATTCTAATTATAATTACATAGTAATTTATTTTGTTAAAAATAATTCTATTCAGTCACGTTCTAAGTTTTAAAAAATCTAATAACAAATACAAATCAAATTATAGGACAAATACGAGACGGGCAAGGTGAATTACAAGCGGCCCCAGGATTGTGTTTGATTGTGAGTCGGCCCAAAATATATCTTTGTTTGTAATCTATATAAGAATCCTACTCATTTCTACGGGTATGCAAAAATACTCGACCCGGTTGATCTGTTGACCCAAACTTAAAAAATCGGGTAATTTTTTTAAAAAATTATCCTACCAAGACAGGTTAGGGTCACAAAATTAAATTTTTTCGGGTACTCGGGTTAGGGATTTTTTTAGGGGAAACTACCTATTTGGTCACCTATATATTATCTAATATAATTCATATATATTTTTATTTAAGGTAAACTACCTATTTGGTCACTTATATATTATCAAATTTATGTTTTGGTCACTCGATTATTTTTTTTTTCAAAATTATACCTAACGTTACGTTTTGATTCTGTTCTGGTCACTCATATTTAAAAATGAACAATGATGCTAACATGATATTTTTTAATTATGTTTGGATGTTGGACTATGTAATTTGAAGTTTCGAATATTTAAATTTATGTGTGTGTTTTTAATTAATAATTTGAAAAAAAATCGGGTATCCGGGTACATGATTACCGAGTACCATCAACATCCGGATCGAGTCACGGACCGAGAAATAAATTACTTGAAGATCCGGGTACTCGACACTTCGAGTACCCAAAAACCCAGATAGCCAGATTTGCACACCCCTACTCATTTCCCATACCAACTAGCACATTCTGAAGATAGGGGAAATAAAAGAAAATTACCATTTGATTTTTTTGCAATTACAACAATTAATTTTATTAAATAAATAAAATTCAATAATAAAACTATAATTTTAAAATTAAAATAGACTAATCATGTTTATAAATGATTTTCGCTCTAAAATCATTAAAGAATATAAATTAACCACTAGATAATTAAAAAAAGGTTACACAAAAAAAATATTAAAATGTAAAAAATTAAAACATACAAATAAACATTATTTATCGATGATAAAAGTAAAATAAAGACATCATTAACACTAATACAAAATTTGATATAACAATAATAGTATGTTCACAATTGAGTTTATCACAACTCAAGCAGAACATATATGGTTTGATTGCGAACAGATTGAAGATTTAAATCAAAAATAAATTAATAAGAATTAAATAAACATCGATTGAAGAAACGAATCAAAATCAACCGTGAAAAGAAGAAAAACATAAAATAAGAGTAGGAAAAAATATGTAAAAAAATGAACTATAAAAACAAATAAGAATATTCATTATTTTCATAGAAGAAAACGACTTTGTTAAATAAAATAACATACAAATTCAAATATACAGAATAAAAATTAAAGAGTATTATTATTTTTGGGTAAAATACTTTATCTCCAAAGTTTAACTTTTGATTTTTCTAAAAAAAGAAAGCTTTTTATTGTTTTTTCTGATAAATAATTGTCAACCAATTATTATTATTGACATAATATGTGATATCAATATTTATATTTTAAAAAATAACGTTTTCTTCTCTTTTTTACGTAAAGAAACAATTACTTTTATGTATGAATCAAATTATCTCAATATTTAAAGAAATCGTTGTTGTTCTTAAATGTCATGAGTTCGAACAACAAAAACTGCAAAGATAATTGAACGTTCATTGTAAATAGTTCAGAGTATTTAGAACATATATTAATTTGTAATAATTTTAGCTTAATAAAAAAATAAAAAAGAAACAGTTACTTTTACTAAGGAAAAAAAACAGAAAATATCAATGGGATAACAAATGAGTATCATCTTGATCAGTCGCAACAACGTCAAATCTAATCATGAGAAAAATAAACGAAAAAATGACCAAATAATTAAAAAATAAAATTAAAAAATATATAGAAAATTAGAGAAAATTATGATATAAAGATAAAAAAATCATGTTATAAACACATAATCATTAAATACAAAAAAATGAAAGTCTGTTCAAAATATGGAAGCTTATGTGCAACAGAATTGGCTTGTCGTAAAAAAAAATGGAAGCTAGGGTGAGCAAATCAATTGCATCTTTGAAGAGAACCCCAACCACTGACATCTAAATAGCTGTTCAAAATTCCAATAGCAAATCTGCACATTTGACCATCCGTTTTCAACACCAAGCTCAATCCCTTCAAACAAAGCTCTTGCCTCCACTGTTTCTGCTATGAGATATCCCGAAATCTTACCAGCATGACCACCGATAACCATCCCGTTACGATCACGACCAACAACTCTAATCACCGCTAATCTACTGTTTCATGAATACACCATTTTCTAATATGATGATCAAACGTGTGGCAATATGAAATGTATCAAGGGAGACTCAAACCCAAGGTCTATTAGATTACAATTTAACATAGAATCACTAAATCAAGCTTATAAATTATTATATTATTGTTAAATTAAATTACCATAGAAATTAATTATATATATGTATAAAGATATTAATTATAACATTAATTATAGAATTTTATAATAATATAGAATATACTGATTTTATAAAAAAAGTGTATTAATTACATATATTTATTAAAATATATTAATTAAAATATAAACTATAAGTGATAAATAATTGAGAATAAAATAATTGTATTGTAAAACAATGATTTTAAGACAAAACTGGTACGGAGTAAAAAAGGTTATCTATCTCTGACCCGACTGAAAATACTAGCAGTGTAAAGTATAAAGATATCTGAGTCAACCATTGAAACCAACACACATGGCTCGAGACACACTCTGACTCAGACACACTCAGACTCAGACCTATACATTTGGATGATTAATTTTATACAATTATCGGGACTCGGACAATCAAAATTCTCTCCCTTTTTCCCAACCCAAATTATCCTTTTTCAAATTATTTATGGAATATTATCATTCATATTTTTCCTAAGGTACCTCTACTTTAAATGTGATCAATTTAGTCCATCTGCCTGTCTTATTTTAAGATTAAATCCTAATAACCCTACTGAGTCAATCATAGTCAAATTGACTATAAATTATATTTTATTTTTAAAATCATAACTTCAAGTATTAAATGTCACATTTAAATTTAACGAGATTACATCAATGCTACGTTTGTAAACATGAGTTTAAAATTTTGCATTTGGAACTGTACCGTATAAATAACCGATAAAATTTAATATGAGGTATAAATCAAATGTATAAATATTGATTTATTAAATAAAATTGTATATTAATAAATTTAAAATTTATTTTTATATACACACCGAACAAATCAACTGTTTTAAATAATAATCCTGTACAATCTTACTAGTTAAATCTTAATTTGTATATATTAGTTTGATTAATATTTTAATTTATATATAATTAAAATAGCTGTCCCTTTTTCCCATATTTATGGGGTAAAGGGGAGGTAAGATAGTAGACTTCCCCCAATACCAGGATGAGAGCAGCTTCTGTAAGAGACCTCCGAATTATGAAATGCCCTCTGTGGGACTCGATCCCACGACCTTCAAGGTTAAGAACCTTGTGCTCTATCAACTGAGTTGGATGGTCATTTCAATATATATAATTAAAATTTTATATTATTTTAAAAATAAATATGATACCATATAGGTATTTTAAAATTTTAGATACATATAACAGTTCGCATGGAAAAAGAAAGTTGTTTATTCAAGCGAAAATACACCGTCAAACAAGAAAAACAAAAGAAAAGAAAAACAGAAGTAGCGGATTTCACGGGAACAAAGCTGGTGAGATGACACGTGGAGAGAATAATACCGTTCGATAGGAATGAAAACGGTGGCTGCCAACAGATGATCATATGAGATGTCATCCCTTAGCCAAAACGAGGAGAGTGTCCGGGATTTTAGTGAAATAAAAGAGAGAGAAAAAACACAGCAACTGCACCTGTTTAAGTAAATTTTCCTCTCTTTTTCTTCACTTTCTGGGTTTTGATTTAGAAAGTGTTTATACAAGTAAAGGAGTGATAGAGATTTATACAAGTACTGCAAAATTTGAAGCAACTCCAACAGAAGCAGCTTTACCGACAAGAAAAGATACAAAAATACTTGTTTTAAACACTTTGAGTGGGTAATTCGTTAGCTAATGACCTAAAGTGTAAACACGTTCAAGAGAGGGAATTGGCTGTAGCTCGGGGAAAACAAGGACTGGGAAGTGCACCCATCTAGAAATACTGGGTTGTAAAATATCAAAACAGAGAGGGTAAGTTTCTGATATGGATTATCAGTTCGAGGAGGTACAATGGATAGGTTTTTCTCACTAGGAGGAAGAGGAAGTAACAGCCAAGAATATCAGCAAAGCAACCCACCAACTGAAATTCAAACCGAGTGCTGGTTCTGGTATAAAAACGAGAATATTTCTTACGAGGGTTTCGAGCCATGGCAACAACTGCAACAGCAACAACTTTGTTCATCAGCAGCGGGGTTAGGTGTTGGCCCTAACAGGAGCTCGATCAACGTTTCTGATGATTCTTCGAGCTCGAGATCGGCTTTCGGGATTGAGAGAAGTAGTAGTGGAGGAGGGAAAGGCCGAAGCATGAATTGCCAAGATTGTGGGAATCAAGCTAAGAAAGATTGTCTTCACAAGAGGTGTAGAACTTGTTGTAAGAGCCGAGGATTTGATTGCCAGACCCATGTTAAAAGTACTTGGCTTCCTGCTTCTAAGCGCCGTGAAAGGCAACAAAATCTTCCTGCTGCTATGCAGCAGCAACAACAACAACAGCCGCAGCAGCAGCTTCGTGGAGAGAACCTCAAAAGACAGCGAGAGAATCCAACACCTTCTTCCCTTGCCTGCACTCGTTTACCAACACACATGTCAGGTGCAGTCTATTATTGGTGGTATATATATATATAATAAACTAGATCTAGTATACTCCGTGAATCACTTACAGTCTCAAAGATCGATTCTTTTTTATGCATTTAGAAGTAAAATTTTCTATAAAGAGATAAGAAACATGTGCCCGGGAGAAAAAAAGAAAAAAAATAAACGCCAAAAAGTTCAATTGCGTGTTGTAAATTGTAATATACCTTCACAGTAAACCCTGCAGCAGCTTTTCATTCATCTTTTCCTTTTACATTTAGGGTCCGTTTGTGTATAACCCTTTTGATTCATTTTCTCTGTCTTCCCCCGAGATGATCTTTGTGTATAACCCAACCGTGTTCTTGCATTTTCTCCCTTTGCTTTCCACTTATAATCAAGGTAGCCAACAAAATAAAGGAAACACATTTTTGTTTTTTTACTTATTTGAATTTTTTTTTGTCTATCTTTTGTTTTTGTATTTTAGGGTTAGAGCAACTGGGGAGTTTTCCTCCAGAAGTGAGCTCTCACGCGGTGTTTCGATGCGTGACAATGAGTAGCACCGACGATGCCGACGATCAGTATGCTTATCAGACGGCAGTGAGCGTCGGAGGGCATGTTTTTAAGGGAATTCTTTACGATCAAGGTCCTGATATCGACAGTGAGTACACCATGACAGCAATAACAGCAGGAGCAGCTGTTGAGAGTTCAGCCACCACCAACACGGCAACTTTTGCAGCTAATACCAGTGCCGGTAGCGTCACAGCTGCTGCTTCTTCATCAGCCACCGCAGTTTTAGACGCTTCATCTCCATATGCAACTCCACTCAAAATTTTCATGGCTGGTACGCAGTTTTTCCCAAACCCACGATCTTAAAAAAAATCTCTACGGTGTTTTTCTCTTGTTCCTCTAGCTTTATGAACGTTCTAAGCATTTGATGATACAACCCGGTCCAACATTGAAGTAGGGAGTTGTTAATAGAGTTGAAAGGAAAACAGGAGAGAGAGAGAGATAGATGATGGAGATTTCTGTTCATTTTGTGTGGAAAACTGAACGAAATCTAAAGCTGTTGTTGTACGAAAATAAGCGTTAGCATATAGTGTTGCAAGTCAGTTTAATATTATTTTAGTGAGAGTGAGTGGTGGAGGGTTTATATTATATATATATATATATATATATTGGTTGAATAATTTTGTAGTTTCCATTACACTTTTTTGTTGATATTCGTCGGAGCTGCTTTTTCCCTGTTTCTCCGTATGTTTGCCGGTTACGAAACGAAGACCGTATTGGTTTCTTCCTTGGTTGGACAAACTGCAATGACTACCTATTTTTCACTTATTACGCCATGGGCGGTCCCGCCATGCATGACCGAGAGTGAGCTTAGCTAGCTAGCTGTCATGTTCAAAAGGTGAAACATTAATCCCCCGCCCCTCTGTGTGTAAATATAATGTGTATTGATTCATGTGATCATCGTTGCATATTGTATTGATGTGACTTAAGTAATTTGATGAAATGGGAATTATTTCTGATCATTTGCTCCTTGTTTTAATGCCATTTCCTGGAACAAACCTGTTCTTATTAGTGCATATTGCAGTGTTATATATTAATTCCCTGCATATCCATAGAAAATAGGAGATGTGTGAATTATAAGAAATGAAACAGTAAGTTTGTGAAAATTTTCCTTTAATCTAACTACGGGAATTTGCCTGCCCCCTAATTACATTCTTAATTATATTGCACGTTTCAAAATGCTAGCACCTACTGAAGCATTGTTTATTGCTAAGGTCAAGAACTGTCTGAACTTTGATTGCTCTTAAACAAAGTAGTTCATCCTTGCTTATTTTGATCTTTTTAATGCTTATTGTTTCATTACAATACAAATATAGTGCCACTGGTGGAAACTTGTTGATTACATTCTCTTGAAAAGTAGAAATTCTCCTCTACTATATATATATGTGTGTGTGTGCATATATATATACTTCTTACAATTTGGAACAAGGTTTCACAAAGAAACCTATCTGTTGATATCTTTGCTGTTGGAAAGTCATGGGAAGAGTGGTGAGAAGTTTAAAATCATAAATTGAAGCATGATTTTCTACAAAACGAAACTCAAAATACAAAAATACAAAACAATGATTAGTCTTAACATAGGGGGTTTCCTATTTCTTACTGTTATCCGCTCTCCAGTGTTGTATGACCTTAATTTTGTTAATGCTATTCTTATCTTTGAGTTTCAACTGGAAACTGCATGCTAGAACATAAATCCATTGTTTATATTTGGTGGGTTTGTTGATATCTATCTGAATGCAGCAGTCCTTTCAGGAAATATTTTAAAGTGTAAATAATTGTTTAAGGTAGGCTAGGATGTGGGGGATTTCTCCAGTGTAAACTCCATAAAATCCTTTGGATCTAAGCATTAATCTCACACATATATGAAGCTTTTTTTAGTTTAATAATTATTTCATTTCCTGCAGTTGTTTTCACTATACAGCCAACATCCTCCAGGAAAAACGTAGGATGTTGGTGATAAAATATAAAAAAATGGGTTCCTGATGTGGAATGCACCCTATAGTCTGATGGATGTTATATATCAACAGAAGAAAGGAGAAGAACAAATTTGTTAATTCCATATTCTTTCAGAAACATGCGACAGCTGTTGAAACTCAGCAACAAAAAAAATACGTTGATGGAGAATTCACCCCTGGAAATATTATATATATGTAGATAAAACACTATTCCTCTTTGGTGTCTCTCAACCCATGAGAATCCAGAAAACTACCTTTTTTTTTTCATTGGGAAAGGGTAATACGATTTTCTCTTCATTTTTTTTGTTAAGTCTTTTCAGGGAAAGATGTGACGGAACATCCATGTTTATCGGTTTTACAGTTGGAAAATTCCCTTTAATTTAATCCAAACATGAAATATCATGGAAACTATAAACCATTCGATCAAAAACAAGTTTTTTAATTGCCATCCAACCCTAGCTAAAAAAGATCATGCATGTGATGTGTCCTTGACAAGCTCCCAAGTTGAAACTGTTCTTGACCCGATTCCTGCCATGCATGTGAAGCAAATGTAGTGAAAATACAGTATGTTCGTAACTATATACGAAGTAACAAGCTGAGAAAGAACAACAATGATTAAGCATATCGAACAGTTCTTTGTTCGAATAGAAAAGGCAAAAAAGGTCATTAACACCAGTGGGATTCTGTTATCGCATTAAGACAGTGTAAGCATGTGTTGATATCTGAGGGTACAACAGTATAATAGATTTTGGCTTTGTAGGCATCAATGGCTGTGGTCCCAAAAGTAGCGTTTATGTTATTGAATATCCCAGCTCTACTGATCCAAAAGCTTTTCTTTACTCAAACTTGCTGCTGGGGAAAAGGAAAACCCTACTGTGCTTGTGAGGGGCAGAAGGAGGCAGTCATTGGTATTGGGGCAGTCTTCTTTACAACGGGAAATATGAAAGCGAAAGAGTGTGCTGTTCATACTGCAAATTGGTTAAAGTTCAGCTGGTTTTAAACCATAAATAAAAGCTGACAATAACTTTGTTTCCAGCAGTGAATGCATCAAAAAAAAAATTCTCCGAATGGGGTCTGGTGGATGTTTCTTGCAAGTAGAATTGCAGGTCAATAAATAGTTGGGTTTACCAAGTATTCAAGCTATAGCACCTAGGTTTCATCCTCCATCATAGAATTAAGTTTTGGGTTTTGAATCCATTTAACCTTATGTCTATCATCGAGTCACAAAAGAGACTAATTCAAGACAATAATACCACGTTACTACAAGAAGTAATCATGAATCTTCAATACATTTTTTTAAAAGTAAACCGCCCTTGTTTAATGGAGTTGACCTGCAATTAAACTTGTCAATTAATGAAATACAATCGTAAAACAAAAATTATCAAGATTTAACGTGAAAAATCATTCGTAAAAGGATCACATATAGAGAAGTAAAAATATTTATTATATAAAAAGATGCAAGAATAAAAACGTCTAAATACAGGTTAAGAGTTAAACAATTCACTTTTAAACTCCAATCCTTAATATCTATTTATAGGATAAGTTTAAGAAACTTACATAGAAAAAGTCTATTTAAACTCTAAGTGTCCTATTATTAATCAACTTGTAAAGAAAATAAAATAAAATTTTATACATATTGAACCTTTATATTCCATTATCATAAATTTTAATTCAACTTCATTTTTAAGTGAAAAACAAAATTGATCCTTAAATGTAACACCTTTTAATCTAAAGCTTGTCCGCCATTTGAAAGAGCAGGTATTTAATGCGACCGGCAACCTCAGTTGAGTTTTGGACTTTGTGAAACTAAATGCCGACCCAAAGTGGAATTATCCTTGCATCCTTGCTTTAGGGTCCCCATATTTTTGTCCGTATAATATTGGCATGATAATGGAACAGGTTTGATGGATGTTTATGCCCTAAAATCTGCCTCAGTGTATTGGAAACGACAGGCATTTTAAAATGGCATTGTGTTGCATCTTCCCAGGACCAGAAATCTGAACCTCCTTTTGCTCCCTGTCTTTGCTCCATCAATCTTCCAACTTGTCTGAATATATAAAAAAAAAAGTTGGGTCCAAAATTGACCTGCACTATGGGTCCATGGTGGGAACTGATAAAGCTTAATGGATATGCCTTCACTTTTGTCCAAAACCCATATTGCATCACACAATTTGATATTAAAATCCCATCATCATACACTGTCACATCCAAAGATTTTGCAAAGATATATTGCATACAAATATATGGATTGATAGATGAATAGCTAATCTCATTCATTAAAAAGCCGGACAGAAAGTGCCCTCGTTATTAATGGTTAATGAGTTGATTAGTATGCGAATACTTTAAATTTAATTGATTAATATTTAGTTTGGATTAATTTAATTTGAATTTGAGTTCGACTGAAACCTTAATAAGTCGAGTCGAGCGAGGTCCAATTCGACTCGTTAAATTAATGAGCAGTTAGTTAATTTTTGTTATAAAATTTTAATAATTACCTTAAGAAATTATTGAATTAAAAAATTAAATAATAATTACTATTATACTAATAGATAATAAGAAAAATATTAAATTATTAATTAATAATTACTATTAATATATTAAATTTTAATGAACGATAAAAATATGAAATTATTAACCATACCCAAAAAATTCTTGTGAGCTTAATGAATAAGGACTGGAGCAATAAAAAATTTTAACGAGCACAAATTGATTTTTTTTAATGAACTTAACAAGTAACAAGTTAAATATTGTCTAACTCGCGATTGACTCGTTCAATAAGCATCTCTGGTAATTGCGGAGCTTGGGTACCACTTCACTTAACCCACTAAAATAAACCAAGTGGGCGCTTGAATCTTTGCCATTGAACATGTTGAAGAAACCTTCATTCTTCCCTACCATGCTCACTGGGGCCTGATTAGTACCAACAAATTGGGTCAATTTAAAGGAATGAAAATATGGGCTATGTTGTAAATTTAGTTGGACCGGGTGAGTTGGGCACTGATCTTTTTCGACCCATAACTTGACAATAGCCAAGGTAGAAGGAAAGCTATTTTGAAGCGGGGACATAGGTATTCAATCAGTTAATTTGATCGGGTTGAACTAGTTAAGGTTAAATTAATTGATTTTTCTAAATCGTTAATTGATTTTTTAACTATTAATAAAATTGAACAAAATTTATTTAATCCATAAGATTTTCAAAATAATCAAAATGTGTTATAAGTTTGCTTATAGTTATATTAACTTGAGTTTAATAGCGGTATTTTTTATCCGAGTTAAAATCTGATTGAGTCTTGAAAGTTTGATGGGTTAATATGATTAAAAACATTTGGGTAAACTATTAACGAGTTTAGGCTTAATATAATATTTAATATTTCTGATTAATTCATTTAATTGACTTAAAATGAATTGACAATCGAAATTTAAAAAAAAAACATTAACTGATCAAACATTTAATTATTCGATTGATTGACTGAATTAAATTTCAATATGATTGATTAATTCAATTAAATCTAAAAAATGAACAATCTCGATGTACGACGAGATCTGTGAAGAACCTAGCAACTGTAGCTAGTATGGAGGAACCTAAAGTGGTAGCTAGGGTGGCTGTTACCCTAAAAAACATTAATATCTTCGAACTCTCAAAATCATTCTCTATGTACCCTATTATATAGCTGCAGTTGTGCTCTTTTGTAGCTTGGTCGATACAGGACTTGAAATAAACCACGAGTAATTTGGCTGCCATGTCATGACATCTGTTATCGCTTTCGGTCATTAACCTAAAAGCAAGGTCAAAACAGAAGTTGTCCAAATTATAACATATACAGCGGATTATTACATGGTAATTAGGACTTGAAGTCCATTGACATACGTCATGAAAGGAAACTATCAATTTTACGTTTGAAATTACATTTAAACTAGACAGCTTACTACTAAACTGAATCCCAAATCTCTCAACAAGGTTTAAGGAAAAGGAGCATCGTCCCTACATTCATGTACTGTCATAATCAAATGGAAAAAAACTCAAATCTCACACGTTATCACTTATCAACCCCCTAGCCTCAAGATGCCTGACTCTGATGTTTTGATCAGTATTCACTTAATGAAAACCGACATTTTTAGTTACAAAACACAACACCTTTCATGCCCCTTTCCCGATATAGATTCCCCCCTTCCCCCCCCCCCCCTTCATATTCCTCTTTAGCAGTCTTTTTTATCTTTATCATCTCCTTCTTCTCCTCTTCCTCTCTGTTGAGCTTGTAAGATAGTCTTTCTGTACTGAGATCTTTGCATAGGTAGCTGCTGTCTTCTACATTTTTTTAAAAGTTTCTTACTGCGTATGCACTCTTTTATTTTTTATTTTTAGAATTTCAAGGGTGGAAAAAGAAAAATGGGTCGTGGGAAGATCGAGATCAAGAGGATTGAAAACGCCACCAACAGGCAAGTGACCTATTCCAAGCGAAGGAATGGTATTTTCAAGAAAGCACAAGAGCTTACTGTTCTCTGTGATGCTAAGGTTTCACTCATCATGTTTTCTACCACTGGAAAACTCCATGAATTCCTCAGCCCTAATATGTCGTACGATACCCAAACACCATCTCTCTCTCTTTCTCTTTTCTATCCATATTATACAGATATGCATCCAAGAAATAAATCATATGGTTTTTGTTGTTGATGTTGATGTAAACTAGGACGAAGGGGTTTTTTGATCTTTATCAAAAGACTACAGGCACCGATCTCTGGAGCTCCCACTATGAGGTTATCATTAGTGTATCTCTTGAATGTTTACGGTGCTTGATTTGACAGGCGTTTGCGATTTTAGTTGTATGCTTTGTTTGTTTTGCCAGAAAATGCAAGAAAACTACAGAAGGCTGAAGGAGATGAGTAAGAAGCTAAGAAGAGAGCTCAGGTAAAGGTATTAGTGCTTTGACATATATATAAACATACCAGAGCTAGGGTTATTTTGGCAATAAAAGTTTGTTTTTTTCTTCAAGAAGTAAAAAATTTGATTAGAGATTATGGGTTTTAGCAGGCAGAGGATGGGTGGAGATCTGGATGATCTTAACATTAAGGCACTGCAAGCTCTTGAGGCTAAGATGGATTCTTCCTTGGTGGCCATACGTCAAAGAAAGGTCTGAATCTTGATTTGTTAAATGTCTCTCTTAAAGATCATGACGATTAAAGTAACAATATCAGTTGATTTTGCACAGTACCATGTGATCAAAACGCAGACAGGCACACAAAAGAAGAAGGTGAGGAACTTGGAGGAAAGACATGCAAATCTTGTCTTCGATCTGGTAAGAAACTTAGATTGAACTTGATAGTACTTTAAGACATTGATTGTTCTTGTTTTTTTTCTCTCAATGTTTTATCTGTGATTAAGGAAGCAAAGCTTGAACATGGTGATGGAATAGTTGAAGGTGAAGGGTATTACAATGAAGCAGCGCATGGAGCCTCCAGCTTACACGCTCTTCGCCTATACCAAAATCACCATCCAAATCTTGTTCTTCACCATGGGGGAAGATTTGGTTCCAATGATCTTCGCCTTGCTTGATTATTGACGGTTTTTGAGTACACACTGCCTCCAGTTTCAGATATTTATTCTCCTTATTATATTTGATATCTAGTATTATATGGAGTAGAAGAATAATTCCAATCCTCCAACATCAAATGGTTTGCCCGTTTCTCGTCGGATAACTAAGTGCTTGTGTGTTCTCTTTTGATGCATTATATGAACGATCGATGTTGAACCTGTGTATATCCAACACTAATCTACCATAATAATGTCTTCAACTTGTGTTTTAATTTTTATTTCTAAAATCATTTCATAATTTCTATAGTACACCTCCATGTTATAAATAGATGTTTGCTTATAAATAGATTTAACAACATAAACTTTATTAAATATTAAATTTTATCTCATCTAAAATGTGGATGAACACAAATGTTTATGTAAAAACTATATTTTATTGTATTTGATATCTGATATTATCTGAAGTAGAATAATTTCAGTACTCCAATAACAAATGGGCTGAAAAAGTAGTCCGTCTCTCGTAGGATAACTAAGTGCTTGTCTGTTCTCTTCTCGATGTATTATATGAACGAACGGTGTTGGGTTGTGTTGAACCTGTGTATATCCAACATTAATCTTCAATAATAATGCCTTGAACTTTTGTTTTAATTTTTATTTCTAAAACCATTTCATAATATATATATATATCGAAACCGTCATTCGGGTGAGCCCGAAATTGGGCTTCAACTTAAATAAATATGTTAAAGTCGCCACTGATCATTAGGTTGACCGAACACCTTAATTTATCATCTTACCTGATATGCGTTTTACCATAAATAAATCAGATTCGGGATTCGATTACAATCAATGAATGATTAACACCCTTGTACTGCCCTTTCGGTACTAATTTAATTTTCCGGTTGTCATAGCTACGAAAGTTAAAAGTTAAATTAAAATTTAAAATTCGATCCAAATTACTTACCTTTGATCAATTAAAATTCTCCTAAAAAAATGTTAGATCGTAAGATAAATTAAATAAATGTTAAATAAATCAAAGAGGAAAATTAAAAAAAGTTAAATTAAGAATTAAGAAATAAGAATAAAAATAAAGTTAAGATAAAAAGAAAGAATAATAAAGTAAAACAATATTAAAAGAGAAATAAATAAATAAATAAATAAATAAATGAAGAAAATGTTAAAATTTAAAAGAAATTTAAAATAAATAAAAATGAAGAAAATATTAATTTTTAAAAGAAATAAAAATAAAATAAAAATATAAAGAAATGTTAAATATTATAAGAAATAAAAATAAAAAAATGAAGAAAGTGTTAAAGGATCAAATTGGAACAAATTAAAATTTATGGATCAAATGGATGCTAAAAATGAGTTGCAAGAGAAAAAAATGTAAGGGGAGTAAATTGCGAAATATAAGAAATTTAAACAGAGATTAAATTGAATAAATTCAAAACTATTCACAACAAGTGACCAGAATGAACGAATCAAAACTACAATGACTGCGGAAATAATTTAATAATTTCATAATTACACTAAGACCCTCTCTATAAATAACCCTTAAAACAAAAAAAAAATCATTTTTAACCCAACTCAAAAAAAAACTCCCCTCTTAAAAAAAATAAACATCTCAACCAAAGCCAACCGACAGAATGGGCGGCCACCACTACTAGTCACGCACCGCCGCCCGGCCAACGGTGGCCGAAAAAATAAACTCGCCTTCCAGTCTCCTCTCGAACTCGTAGACCCGAATCCACCCCAAAAATAAATAAAAATGCCTAGATCTAGATCCCAAGGTTTCAACTTTTACCTTGGTTTCCGATGAGATCTTTTGTTCTCCGGCGATCCTCGACCTCCCGACGTAGACTTTATGCTTTCCCGATAGCTTTCGGCGAAGGCTTTGATTTTTTTTTGCTATATTCGAATGGTTTCTTTGTTTGGTTTGCTTGGCATTTTGCTGTTTGGTTTGCTCGATCTTCTCTCGGTGATTTTTTTTCTTATATGGCTAATTCTTTCGGCATGTTGCAATCCCGATTTCTCGATCCACTGGTGACCTTTTATAGCCTCTGAAAACGAGTTGCAATCCCGATTTAGTCAGGATTTGGGTGTGTCTGATTCTATCAGCATGTTGTTTGTGGTTATTTGTTGGTTGGCCGAAAATCCCGGGATGGTGCAGTCCCGGGTTGTTCGGTCAGAAACCTTGGCCGGTTTTACTGTTGTGGTCGGCGGCGCTCCTTGCTTAGTTATTGATCTCCCTTGGCTAAGCATGAAACCCTAACATGTGGATTTGGGCTGAATCAGGCTCCTTAATTGAGCCTGATTTGCTGGGTTAGGCTAGCATGGCTTGGTTGGGCTCTTTGTTGGACTCGAATTTGGATCTGGACCAAAAAAATAAAAAATAATATAATAAATAAATATATAATATAAATAATAATAATATATAATAAATATAAATATATATAAATACAAATAATAATAAATAATATTAATATAATATATAATATAATATAGTATATAATAAAATCTATATAATATTATATTTTCAAAAATAATTTTTTCAAAAAATTATATATTATATATGTTTTCAAAAGATAATTCCAAGCCATAATAATAATAAAAAAGCTAATAGTACAGTAGTTTAACTTTTAAAGAACCATTAATACCAAGCCAATCAGGTTACTTAATAAATCCAAATCCTTGTGAAGTTAGAATTGTTGTCTTCTCCCTCTTGCCGCCCCCTCTACTTCCTTCCTCCTATCCCCTTTTTGCCCCTTTTCCTCCTCCCTCTCTTTTTATCTTATTTTAATATTTGGTGACAGCGGTCGAAATGGTTAGTTATAGTCAGGGGTGTGCAAAATTACTTCACCCGGTTGACCCGACCTGTCGACTCGGATCTAAAAAAATCAAGTAATTCTTTAAAAAAATTACATGGCCGGGTCGGGTACCCGGCCCGACATTTTTCGGGTCGGGCCCGGGTTACAAAATCTAATTTTTCCGGGTACCGGGTTAGTTTTTATTTTTTTTTTATTTTTTATATATAATTATATAAAATATAATGAATTATTTATATTATGGATTATTATATTTTGTATTTCGAACTTTTAAATTTTATGTTCGGATATTAGAGTATGTAATTCGAAGTTTCGAATATTTAAATTTGTGTATATATTTTTTAAATTAATAATTTGAAAATAAAAAATTAAAAACCGGGTATCGGGTACCCGATTACCGGGTACCCGCAAAATCCGGATACCCGATTACCGGGTACCCGTAACATCCGGGTCGGGACACGGGCCGAGAAATCGTCGACCCGGAAGTTCCGGGTACCCGGAAATCGGGTACCCGAAAATCCGGGTACCCGGATTTGCACACCCCTAGTTATAGTGATTGTGTCGTCCGGTGGTTCGATCGGATGGACATTTAGTCAATGGTAACGACAGTGACAACATGTGTATAGGGATTAAAATAAATGTTTTTAAAGTTTTGGATTTTTTTACGATTCTATTTTTTTTTAATTTTTTAAATAAAATATATTTTAAAGTTTTTTATTTGAAATAAAATCTTTAAAATTATCTGAATTTGATACGTGTCATCAAACGAAACTTTTTAACGACAGTCAGAACATTTAAAATTATAACGTTTATAACGTTAAACAGACGAATTGACCAAAAAATGATTTAAGCACCGAAAAATGAATTTTTCAAGTGGTTCTATAATATGTATTTTATAATCACCGTAGGTAATTATATTTAAATTGTGATAGAATCAGTTGTCAACGTTGTTATTGTTATCTTCGTTTATATATTAGTGTTGGTGGAGCTTATCTTTCACTTACGTTCATGATGTTTTTTTTTGGGTAAAGTTTATAAATGATCTTGATTATACAATATTATTTTGTTGAGTCTTTGACTATTAAAAGTTATAAAATGATTTCTCAATTGTAGGAAGTTGATTTGTTGAGTCCATCGATTATTAAAAGTTACAAAATGGTCACCCGACTACTCATTATGTTCCAAACTTGTCTTTTTTCGTTAAAAAAATGACAATATTCTAAGCTGAAACGTTAACCTACTGACTGAGATATGATAAAATCCAATCTCATAATCTCAAACAACTATCATATCTCAGTCAACATGTTAACGTCTAACTCAGACGATTGTTAATTTTTTTTAATGTAAAAGGACAAGTTTGGAACGTAAAAGATAGTCGGGTGACCATTTTGTAACTTTTAATAGTCGAGAGACTCAACAAAGCAACTTCCCATAGTCGGGGACCATTTTATAACTTTTAATAGTAAATGACCATTTTGTAACTTTTAATAGTTGGGTGACTTAACAAAATAGTATCCTATAGTCGAGAGACTATTTTTATACTTTATCATTTTATTTTTAGCCATTTATTTAATTGATTTTATTAACCTTTTTATTATTTAGTGTACGATCAACATTTTTCTTCTGAGATGGTGATTTTGTTTTACTTTTTCTGTATTTATCTAATAAAGCTAACACTTTTTTTTTAGTTAAAGAAATAAGTTGAGCTCTGGTTCAACTCAAACGAGTCTAACGTACAATCTAAAATAATCCATGGAGGGAAACACTAATATTGGATGACATTTGGCATTTTGATTCCATACAACAGCAGTCAGTAATGAACTCATCTTTGTCTGTTTTATTTGTGGTTACCAGCATGTTTACAAACTCGTGTTTAATTGCTAGTGATTTAATGTTGGTCAAGTAATGTAACTGTTCTCTGCAATTAAAGACATTGGGACATTGCAAAGCAGTGGCCTGCACCCCCATGTTAAGCTAAAGTGAAGCACCAAATTCAGTAGAGGAGTTATTACTCTTAAATACTTACCAGGGTGGTTGTGATCAATCTGGAAGTTCCACTTCTACTCCAATGGACCATGCTTTCCCCACCAATTTCTGTAAAGATTCTATAATGTTGAGATCATAATTCAGATCATGCCATTGGAAATAAGAATGATGTTTTAATTCATTACAGTGCCATGTTTTTCATTGTCCCCCTTTCTATGCAATGAATAAATGTCTGTCACCAATAATCAATGAATTGGGTGTAGTGCTAATGTTCGTACACTCCAATTTATAACATACAAGTAACAATTTAATGAATTTTCAAGTTTGAAGACTAAAATGCAATCTAAACTATATCCTAGGGACTTCTAACCTAGTTTTACCTTAAATTCTGCCACCAAACGTCATAATTTGTAGTCATTCGAGTAGGAGGAGAGTGGACATATCTTTTTCCATCTCGTTTTCTCTCTTGGCCAAATCATTCAAAGGATCCAAATTTAAATACGAGGATTACAGAACAGAACAATACAGATCACTCTGACAATTGCCCGTGAATCCACTCACTAAAATTGACTCCCTTTTCTACCCAGACTGGTTAAACGTACTACAATTCCTATCTTTCCCTTATCTCCCTTCTTTTTCCCATAAAATCATAGATAGATGGTAATTTCTTTTCTTTTTTTCATATTAACCACTTCAACGGCCCTGATTAACTGGGTTTCTAAAGCTCTTTATCTTCTTCATCTGCCGTCTAGATTCTGAACTGCCTTTCACTTTGCTTGGAGAAAAAAACATGGGTGCTTTGAAATTCTTTGTATCTCCACTTCTTCTGTTAGTTGTTGTTGATGGTGTTTTGCCAATAGCAGAATCCAAGACGTTCTGGGGAGATATGCAAGTGTTGAAACAACTCAAAAATGGAGTCGAGCCTAACTCGGTGAGTCCTGGTTCTTGTTTGAGTTCTTGGGATTTCACGGTAGACCCATGCGACAGTCTCTTCAGTGAAAGATTCACCTGTGGTTTCAGGTGCGACGTTGTTGTCTCTGGGTTGAGTCGAGTCACGGAGGTTAGTTTTGACTCGGCTGGTTATGCCGGTTCTCTCTATTCCACTTCCTGGAACTTGCCTTACTTACAAACCCTTGACCTCTCCAACAATTTCTTTTCCGGCTGGATTCCGGGTTCACTCTCCAACCTGACTCGGTTAACTCGACTCGGTCTTTCGAGGAATGCATTCTCCGGTGAGATACCTGCCTCGATTGGGTCATTGTTTAGCCTTGAAGAACTGTACCTCGATAACAACAACCTACAGGGCCCTATTCCCACGAGTTTCAATGGTCTGGTTAGCTTGAAAAGACTCGAAATTCAATCAAACAACATCTCTGGTGAGTTCCCCGAGCTGGGTTTACTCAAAAACCTGTATTTTCTTGATGCAAGTAAAAATGCCATCTCTGGGTATCTCCCCACAACATTGCCACCTTCTCTAGTCCAAATTTCCATGAGAGACAACATGATTGAAGGCACAATTCCTCAAAGTCTTAAATATTTGAGCTTTCTGCAAGTGTTAGACCTTAGTCAAAACAAACTCGCCGGCTTAGTCCCTTATTTTCTCTTTACCCACCCATCTCTCCAGCAACTCACTCTCGCATTCAACTCCTTTGATTCTTTACAATCTCCCTCTAATCTAGGCACCCAAAGTGTGCTCATTGCGGTCGACTTGAGCAATAACGAGCTCCAAGGCTGGTTACCTCCTTTCTTGCCATTAATGCCAAAGCTGTCAGCTTTATCGCTGGAAAACAATAAGCTTTCCGGTATGATCCCGGCCCAATACGCACTGAAAGCGGTTCTGCCCGGATCCGGAATTGCCCCGTTTGCGAGGCTGTTGCTCGGAGGGAACTACTTGTTCGGACCAATTCCGGGGCCGTTGCTGGTAATGAAACCTGACACTGCAAATGTCAGCCTTGCCGACAACTGCTTGATCAGGTGTCCGTTGCGTTTCTTTTTTTGCCAAGGTGCTGACCAGAAATCTTTGATGGAATGCGTGACTTTTGGCCCTGTAATCCCTTGAACCATGCATGTAATTCAACGATGTTTTCTTTTCTTTTCTTTTTCCGGTTGAAACATTCGTGTGTTTCTTTCTTGTGTAAAATTCTTTCTCTATGTTGTTCTATAATTCATAGTTTGGGATTGTTCGTTTTCAGTTTGTTAACGTGAAATCCTTCAAACGTAATTGGCTTCGCCAGTAATCCGGGGGGGGGGGGGAAGGCTCTAAAACATTACTATAATACATGATGGAATCATATAAGGCGTGACGTATATACGCACGAGCAATATAGAACTTGGATCCTACTTGTCCTTTGAGGCTTATCATATAGGCCCGATAACAGCCAACCTTATTCGGTTTATGTAGGTAACTTTTATCCCAATTAAGGACTTATTGCAATATCTTGTGCCTTGGATTAATAAATTTGAGTAGTTAAAGTTTTACTCTTATGTTTTTGTAAGAATAATCTGCCTTTCGACAAGAAATCAAAGATGTATTGTGTCCTCGTTTCAGATATTTTAATGTCTACTGGTAGCATTTCAATGTCTACTGATAGGTAGAGTGAGAGAATTTGCTCTCCCTTCTCTCTAGGTTTCTTCTTCGAGATGGGTCAATTGTCGGTCTCAAAGGTTTCTTCCATGGTTTCTCATGGATCCCTAGTTGTCGAGTTCCATTTTTGGAGCTCAAAACGGTTAAAGTTTCTTAAAATTCGGTTGTTTATTTGTCAAGTTCCTAGATTGTTAGGATTTGATAGTTATTCTAAAATATAAGTCATTCTCGGTGTTCTTCTTCAGCGAAGGAAGTTGAAGGTAAAAGCTATCTTTGTTATCATTATAGTTTATTATTCGTGAGTTATGTTTTGCAGGATCTTCTTAAGGGATGTTGGCGATGGAATGATGAAGAGAGAGGGAATGTTGCTTTATAGAACTTTCAATATTGGTTTGATGGGAAGGTGTTTTTCGAGGAAGGAGAGGAAGTGAGGAACAAGGATTGAGTACGGTATGGGAGTATGAGAGCTATGGGAAAACTGGCAACAAATAAAGATTTAGGGTAGAGTTCAGTGCCGAAAATTGTAGTAAGTTCCGATAATGAATTAGAAGAAGGTGACCGGAGCCGGGCTTCCAAAAACAGAAGGGGATTTGTTGGAGTGTTTAGAGGATGTCACACGATTACAACAGCTAATGTACGGAATCACAAACAGTTTTGGGGGTGGTTTGGTTATGTTCAGTAAGAAGTTAAGGGAGAAAGTGTGTGTTGGTTTGTGATTGAGATAAGTTACTATAGAAGAAATAATCAATCAAGGAAAATCTGGAAATTGGTGATTGACAAGTCAAGTCAAGATCCCATCATTTTTCTGATCTTAGATTGGGATTGGGGATTTCATTGGAAGTTCTCATTATGGAAATTTATAAGAAGATTTTTGTATGATATGAGGTCTTGTCGTGGGGAAAGGAAGAGTTATTATTTACCTCAATTGAAGCAGATCGTTCAACAGGAAGTCTTTTCTCAATACGGGTTGGGACTGGGCTATTCAATATTCTACTCGGTACAGGCAGTAGGTGGGATCAGTAGGGGGCTGGCTAGTTTACTTATTATACTGCTCGGTGTAGACAACAGGTGGGACTGGCAGGGATCACACAGGGGATGAGAGTCCAAAGTCAAGTCTGGCAGAGCAGGTGGAAAGTTGCGACGATTACAGTACGGTCAGCTACTGCGAACACTGTTCGGACAGACTTAGTTGTTGGAAATTCTATGGGAGATTGGCTGTTTATGGGGAAATGGTTCACTCATATTTATTTATTTTGAGTATTATAATGGAGAGATTTTTTAAAAGCCAATTTGGAGTAGGCAAAGGGTGTAAGAGGAGAAGGTCACATCGGAGAGTCTATTGTCAAGTTGGTGGGGTTGCCATACGGGTATGGGATAGGAGACTAAAGGGAGAGAATGTTGCTTTTACCATTCATACTTTCAATATAAAGATTGTTGCTTTTGTCTTAGTTTTCCAGTGTAAATCCTTCGAAGGTTTGGCTTCAAGAAAAGGGTGTAGGAGTGGCATTTGGTTTCTTCACTCGGTTGTTCATTATACTAGTGAAATGTCAGAGGGGGTTGCAGAATTGATGAAGCACTTGAAATTCACTGAGGAGGAGTCCGAGGACATCTCTCCGCCGCGAGTCATTACTGACGATGATGTTATGGAAATGGATAAGTGGATAGTCGCGAGGATAATTGGATACAAGAGAATGGATATCGAGGTGGTATTACGGGTCTTCCACTCTATTTGGGGTCATGCTAGACTCTTGGACTCTAGTATCTTGAAGGATAACATGTTCCTTTTCAAGTTCAAGACGCTCTCGGATAAGTAAGCTATTATGAAACGCACCCCATAGAGTTTCAAAGGAACTCTTTTGGCTATTACTCACTTTGACCCTACTCTGAGTCTCGAAGAGTTCGATTTCCGGCCCCTTGGAGTGTGGGTAAGAATTTATGATCTCCCTTTGGGGTATATAAAAATTGAGACAGCGGAGAAGATTGACAATAGAATAGGGAAGACTATTGCTACTGACACAAGAACTGGTGATGGAAGAATGGGTGATTACCTTCGTGTTAGAGTGGAGATTGATAGTACCAAACCGTTGCGAAGATGTGCTAAGATGGGGGTGCTTGCGAATGGAGAACCGAGGAGGTGTTTACTAAATCATGAACAACTGCATTCGTTTTGCTATAGGTGCGACATTATTGGCCATATGCTCACGGAATGTCCGGGTTTTTCGGAGCAACTGCAGCAGTCACTCCAATTCGGGGAATGGCTAAGAGTGTCACCTATCAAGAGACTTGAAGAAAGTAGCACCAGAAGAAGAGAATGAATTATCTATGTTGAAGGGGAGAACAATGGAAGGTCAATGACAAGTTCAGCGAATAACCTGCTTTCGAATCATGTTGCAAGGAGTCCCCGTGGTAGACCATGGCTGCTAGGAAGAGATTTGTTACATTCTTCCAACTCTAATCAGGAGGATAATTCTGATCCGAATGATTCCTTTGGAACAGATAGCTCCCTTCCAAGAACGTTCCCGGGGTTTTTTATGGTTCGTAAGCGAGAACTGTTGGAGGAGAAGCAGCAGGATCAGGAACCAAGTGCGAGGGCCATGGTAGGATCTTCTAGCTCGAGGAAAAGAAAGATTGGGGAGCCGAATAAGGGGAAAATGAAGATTAAAAGGGCGAACCGGCAGACGGTGCATATATCTGACTCTACTTTAAACTCTAAAGTAGGTGTTAGTATGGAGGAGGACCCAAGCGAATTACCAGAGGAGGATGCGGGAGATGCTTTTGTTGCAGCGGAGGCTGAGGTTCAGCCCCGCCAGGAGCCATGAAGATTCTGTGCTGGAACTGTCGGGGGCTTGGGAACCCCGCGACAGTTCGAGAGCTTAGGAGACTGATCTCCGAAATGAACTCGATGTTGGTTTTTGTTTCTGAAACTAAGTTGCGAAAAAATAAAACGGAGGCAATTAGATTGGCTACAAAGATGTTTGGTTGTTTTTTAGTGAAAAGATCGGATCATTGTGTAGGCTTAATGATGCTTTGGAAGGAGGGTTTAGATGTCTCGCTTCAGAACTTCTCTAACCTACATATTGATGTGGAGGTTCTTTGGAGGGAGTAGAAATTCTGGTTTACGGGGTTTTATAGGCGCAGCGGGTGGTTGGATAAAAAGCACAATTGGGAGATGATTTCTCATTTGGCTTCTACCTCTTCTCTTTCTTGGTGCCTGGGAGGAGACTTTAATGAAATTATTCATCCGGACGAGAAGGGAGGAGGGCAGAAACCAGTGAGGGTTTATATGGAGGAGTTCCAGCGATGTCTTCGTGGAGCCGATGTGTGGGACATTAGACCTAGGAGTGGTTGGTTTTCCTGGGCTATTGGTACCCGTGTTAAAACGTTTGTGTGCTAGAGAATCGATAGATTTGTTACGAAAATTGATATGAGACTCTTGTTCCCGGAGTGTTATGTGGATACGGTTTCGACGGCGTCGTCCGATCATTCTGCGATCTCGTTGAGCTTGGAGGGTGCTATTACGATATGCTCGCCTAGGAGGGATTATTTCAAATTTGATGCGTGTTGGGCTAATGAAGATCAATGCCGGAATATTGTGCATCGGGTTTGGGAGAACAATGAAGATTCTTTCTCAGTTAAAGTGGGGAAGATAAGGTCTATGCTAGGAGACTGGCAGAGAGCAAGAAGAAGTCAAGCCAAGAGGGAAGAGAGGCGCTTAAAGAGTTTTATTCTTAGGCTTACTTTAGGTCCGATCACAGATGAGTCTTGTGAGCTACGGAGGAAAGCCCTTGTGGATCTTAAGGACGTTATGGATAAAGATGAGATGTTTTGGCTTCAAAGTTCTCGAGTTGCGTGGCTTAAGGATGGGGATCGTAATTCTTCCTTTTTCCATAAAAGAGCTAATGGGCGTCGCAAAAAGAATTGGATCGAGGGGTTGGAGAGTGAAGGGGGTTTGGAGTGACAGGTTAAAGGATATTTTTGGTGTTGCTACGAGCTATTTTTCCTCTCTCTTTCGTTCTTCTGAAGCGGCTCCCCACGAGGAGATCCTTCAAGCCATTGCTTGATGTGTCTCCCCTTGTGATAACGAGATGCTTTGCCGAGACTTTTCTGCCGTGGAGGTCACCATTACTTTTTCCCAAGTTAATCCTTCAAAAGCTTCTGGTTTTGATGGTCTTCCAGGTCAATTTTTTCCGTTCTTTTTGGAATATTGTTGGTTGTGATTTCGTTAATCTTTGTCTTAGCCTTTTGAATGATACGATAGATTTTAATTATGTTAATCGTACTATTATTGTTCTTATCCCTAAGGTTTCTAGTCCAAAATTAATAAAGCAATTTAGACTGATTAGCTTATGCTCGGTCATCTATAAAGTTGTGTCAAAAGCTATAGTAAATCGTCTTAAACCTTTGATGCATGCTTGTGTTGCCGAGAACCAATGCGCATTTGTCCCTGGTCGTCGTATTTCTGACAATTTTCTAGTGGCACATAAACTTATCCATTATCTTAAAGGGTCTAAAAATGGTCCTAATAAGGGTGCTGCTATTAAGTTATATATGGAGAAAGCTTATGATAGAGTGGAATGGGTTTTTTTTGTTGGATGTTATGCTTCGGATGGGTTTTAGTTGTTCATTTGTCAATCTTATTCGAAAGTGTATTTCCACGGTCTCTTTTCAAGTGCGTATTAATGGTGTGTTTTTCATGAAGCCATTCCCGTGGGATCTAAAATTAAACAAGCAAATCTTGGAGATGGTGTTTGTCCTCTTTGTCTTTGTGAGCTGGAATCGATTATGCACGCGATTAAATATTGCCCTAAAGCAAAGACAGTTCTTTTGATGTCGGGTTTTCCCCCGAGATTGTTGATTGGAGTAGAAACTCTTCTCTCCTGTGATTGTCATATGTTCAGTCCAAGCTGAATGATGAAGGTTTCGATTTGTTTCTTGTCTTGCTTTGGAACATATGGAACCGACGCAAAAATCTTGTTAATAATGGGGATTTGCAATCATACAGGGACATCATTATCAACTCTTCGAATTTGATTGGGGAGTACAAAATTGCTTCGAATTCTTTAGGGAGTTCAAGTGATGTTGTAGTTCTTCGAAGACCGTGTTGTTGGATTAAGCCGGCCCATGATGAGGTTAAAATTAATGTTGATGGGGCTTATTGTAAGGCTTCTCGAGTTGCGGCTGTTGGTATAGTGGCTCGGGATTCGAATGGAATGGTTATTGGGGGATTGGCTAAGAAGATTGACCCTCCGTTCACGGCCGAGTCCACTAAAGCAGTTGCTTTTACTGAGGGTATCTGATTGGCTTCCGAGAATGGTTGGAACAATGCAATTATCGAAGGTGATGCCATTTCGATTGTTTACAGGCTGTCTAATCAGGTTACTAAAAAGACACAGGATATCTCTACAATTGTATTGTTGCTCAATGAGACTAGACTGATTTTAGCTAACCTTCCTTCTGTTAAAGTGCACTATGTGTATAGGGAAGCTAACCGAGTCGCTCATGCACTAGCACAATGGGCCTTATCAAACAACAATCCAGTTTGGTTTTATTTAGATGAACCTGATTGTATTAAGCAAGTTGTAATTGATGATGCTATTGGAATATAAACTTTTATTCCTTAAAAAAAACACAAAGTACATCTACAACTATGGAAATAGAGAACATATACCTCTATTCTTCCTAGGGGTGAGCAAAAGAATGGGGAACCTGTTCCGAACCAGAACCGGTCCCAACGGTTCTGGTTTCGGGTAGCAAAATAAGGACCCTGTTGACATCGATGTTGGTTCCCAAAATTTTGGATCCGGAACCGGTTGGGTACCAGGCTAAAAGCGGTTCCAATATCGGGTACTCTGAAATCGAAACCGGAATCGGAACCACATAACATTATATTATCCAAAATATTAGAGCCCAAGTAAACTAAGCCCGTACTAAAAAAATACTTTGAACGTAAAAAGTTAAAAACATAGAGTCAAAAATTAGAAACCCTAACTCACCCGCTTAGAAGCTGCAGTCATTCTTTGTGCTAGGAGTCAGGAGAGCATCAAGGGAATCACCGCATCAAAGTTTGAGAATGGACTGCAAATTAATTACAAATATTGTGTAATATCTTTTAGTTGTAAATGTACTTGGTTTGGGTTTTATGCGTTTTGTGATCTATACTTTTGAATTTGGATTAAACTTGTTGTAATTGATTTCTAACATTACGTTTTCGTAATATATACTTTGGGTTAGTGTTTTTATTATTATTTAAGTATGAAATGGTGGATAAATTTTGTATAGAAAAGAGTTCTACTTGTGATAAGTAGTAGCATTTTAGTTTAATAAATTAACAGGTTATAAAAGAGCCAATTTTATCGTGGAGGCGACATACCATCCCACTTAATATGTAACAATTAATAGGTTGAATGAGAAAGCTATCAAAATAACAGAATACCTGGAACCGGTACCGGTACCTACAAGTTCCGTTCCAGATCTCAATTTTTAGGAACCGGTGCAACAAGTTCCGGTTCCAGTTCCCAAAAAAATAAGTGGGTACCCGGTGTTGCTCACCCCTAATTCTTCTTTGTAAACGGCCGAACTTCGCGAGATTCATCAACATGGAAATAAAAATCAGTTACCAGTTTCTGCAATGGCCAATAATCTTATCAGAATGGAGCACATGAATGTTATAATACTTTTAGTCCCCGTTCCCATTTAAAATGGTACACTACCATTCCACTATTCATGCTACATAAAAGTACAGATTTTTTTTTTACCTTAGTAGAGGTATTAGAACCATGATTTGACCTTCGCTATTCATTTTGTCAATCATGTTCCACAGCTTCAGTGTAAACAAATAGACCAGCTGGTGGCGGAAAACATAACAGATAATTTAGATTAATTCGTGTGTTGCTTAAGATCCAGATATTCCAGGTTGACCAAGATATTTGAAGGCCATATTTTGTATTGCAATTGGCTGGAAGTTTCCATGCAAGGCGTGGAGAGCTAATATCCGTTGATGTACTCCATCAAATCCGCATTAATATCATGGCTGCACTGTTTTCCATCTGTCAACTTGCCTTAAAATGAAGATAAATATATATATAAGCTTGGACCTTACAGGTTTTTGATTCCAAAGCCATCGATGGAGATTTCAGTTAATAACAATATGTTTTCTCTACTTCTCTTGCTGTTTCTGTCACTGTCCTTCTCACCACTTGCTTGTGAGGCCTGCAATCCAGTGGACCCTTCGTGACTGTTGCGATCATGGATACCTTCAACTGATTGCTGTACGTCGTGGAAAGGGGTCGCTTGCAATGCCAGGGGGAGGGTGGTCAATGTCACGCGTCCAGGCCTTGTTTCGGACGGTGACGACTTACTGGATACATTCATGAATGGCACTTTGTCTCCCTCCCTTGGGAACCTGTCGTTTCTTCGAGTTCTTGATCTTGGCAATCTGAAAAACTTGAATGGACCGATACCGTCGGAGTTTGGCAAGTTAAGGCATCTTACTCTTCTTTTTCTTGATTCGAACCAGCTTACGGGGTCGATACCATTGACATTCAAGAGCTTATCAAGCCTGGAAAAGCTTTATCTCAGCAACAATCGTATCTCTGGTATTATACCTCTCTCTGTTAGTGGATCCTTGAGAAAACTCACCGAACTTGGTCTTTCAGGAAACCAATTGAGTGGATCAATTCCGGCAACAATAGGGAAGTTGGTTTTGCTTACAAAGCTTGATCTTCATGCTAACAATATTTCTGGTAGTTTGCCTACGAGTATTGGCAATCTTAAGAGCCTCAAATATCTTGACTTATCCGAAAACCAGATAACAGGCAGCATTCCTAAATCCATAGGAGGACTTTCGGCATTAGTACTCCTATATCTGAATCACAACCAGATTACTGGAAGCATCCCTCCATCGTTTTCCGGGCTCATCACTCTTCAGTTTTGCCGCATATCAGAAAACAGGTTGACAGGAACTTTACCATCATCCATTGGTGGGCTCCTAAATATTCTGAGGCTAATCCTTGAGAACAACAGGCTAACTGGGAAACTACCAGCTTCAATGGGAAACTACCAGCTTCAATGGGAAACCTTGTCACTCTTTCTGAAATATATTTATCGAACAACCGTTTAACCGGCAAGATTCCGTCGAGTTTTGGCAATTTACGAAACCTTCAAACGCTAGATTTGTCAAGAAACGAACTCTCCGGTGAACTCCCAATTCAGCTGATCAAGTTGCAGAACTTGCAGACACTGGATCTGTCGTTTAATCCTCTAGGAATCGTTAGCATACCGAAATGGTTTGCTAAATTGAAACTTTTTCGGCTTGCATTAGCGAAAACCGGGATTAAAGGGTCTCTTCCGAGATGGTTATCTTCTACATCGATTTCCACTCTAGATTTATCAAGCAATGCTTTGACGGGGAAACTACAGCCATGGATTGGAAACATGAGCAGCCTTTCTTTTCTCAATTTATCGAACAACGGTCTTCACTCATCAATCCCAGCCGAATTCAAGAATCTTAGGCGTCTAATGGATCTTGATCTTCATTCAAACAAGTTTTCTGGTAACCTGGATACAGTTTTCTCTAAAGAAACTGATGACCCTATAGGCCATTTTAATTCTATTGATCTATCCGACAATATGTTCACTGGTCCTATTAATGAATCCGTTCTACAGAGCCCTGCAATGGATTCGGTAACATCACTTGTTCTGTCATATAATCAACTTAAAGGATCAATACCAAAATCCTTAGGGAAGTTGAGTCAGCTGCAAATCTTGAAGCTGGTAAATAATGGACTTTCAGGAAAGATACCGGTGGAGCTCGGTGATGCCGCTGAATTGACCACAATTTTGTTTTCTAGGAACAAGCTCATCGGCTCTATCCCAGGGAAGGTGATCAATTTGAATGAGCTCAAGGAATTCAATGTGTCGTATAATCGGTTAAGCGGCGAGATTCCTCTCCATAAAGCCATAATCCCTGCATCTGCATTTAGTGGCAATCCAGGCTTGTGTGGTACCCCTCTTCCACCTTGTAAACATTTATAGTTATTTTCACAAAGAAATTATTGTAATAATTGCAAGAACATGTTTTTTTTTTTCAATATCAATGGTTATTTTACTTGCTTTCGAGTCACAATTTACTCGAATAGGGACAAATGTCATATACTATATATGTGTTCCATAAGGGTACAAAAATTTGGAGAACGATTTGAAAATCATATCTTCGTTGTTATGTTGATATATTTATCTCGAACATAAATAGTAAACTCTCATAAATTACCAAGTTTTAGAAGACACCGTCGATATGAATTTTCTACATCCAAACGATTGAGAAGAGCTGATTTCTAACGGCTACATACAGCTCCCCACTAAAGACTTTAATGTGCAGTATTTATTATTGTGAATGGGCAAATTAATTCGGGATGCATGTTTTACAAACTACAGACATGTCAGTCCATACGATTACCAACAGAGCAACGGACAGATCTTGGGATTTGAATAAATAATCTAATCAAAAACATAAATTAAATGTCCAGAATTGTCTTCTAACCAAGTCAAGAGGTAGAGGAAGAGTTCCTGACTAGGCACTCAAAAACATGGCCGCTTCAATGGTTAAAGTGAAACTGACAGAGCACTTTAAAACTTAAAACTGCTCCCACTTATAGGGCCAAATTTCCTCTTACATGACACAGTTGGCGCCGTTTCTTCGTTTATTTATATGGAGAAATTAGACTCTAAATTTGCCCGGTTTGGGGCAAGGCCTAAACAGGGCGTATAATAATGTTATGAGAGTAACACAAATTGGGATTTAGAAGAATTTTCATTTCTCTGCATATTACATTATAGGCAAAACTTACAACATAGAAGAACACAATGGGAACTCTTTTGTGTGTAAATTAGGAAAAGTGGAAGATACATTGGATTAAGCAGGAGAAAAGGATATTCTTTGATGTATGGTATTACTGTTTCATTGATGGAGAAAAGTGTTTGATTTTAAAAATGCAAATGTAGAGGCAAGTGGAGGGGAATTCCTTTTAAAAGTTTGTTTTCTCCATTTGACGCGCATGGTTTGGTTTTGTTGGGGAAGAACTAGTCTGCCATCCAATTGGTTTTCTTGAGCCACCACATCCCCAAAACCATCACCTACCCTGGTTGCCACCTCCCCAACCCCAAACTCCTCCATCAGCACCACTGCCCCCACCGCCACCGCCACCTCCTCCCCCTCCATTTCCTCCACCACCTCCGCCTCCTCCCCCTTCCCCTCCTCCGCCACCCTCACCTCCTCCTCCACCATTCCCGCCACCCCCTCCACCTCCGCCACTTCCACCCCCTTGCCCCTACCATTTCTTTTCCTGAGTGGTTTACCTTTCCCTCTTGCATTGCTATTGCCACCTCCACCAGGACCATCACCACCGTCTCCCCCTTTCCCACCATTATGAACAATATTACTATTGCTTTAGACTAAAATTTCTTGAGAAGAATTCACGGCTTTGTCCTGTACATTCTCAATAACACCATGGTTCTCACTAGAAACCATAGTGCTGGAATTAGCATTGGACAACCCAGGAATTCCATTCTTTCTCTCAAATCCACGCATTCCATCAACCCAACACAGGCTGATCATCAACACCGCGACTACAACCAAAGCCCTTACTGCTCTTGTCATTTCCATTTTCTATCTCAACTTGAGAATGCAAGAATTCCTCCTCTCCAATCCCTTTATATACTCTTTGATTGCTGTATAGTACAGTAATCAAGCAAAACAACTTCTTGAAACAGTCCCCACATGAGCAACCTCAAAGCAACCAATACCAAACAGCACCTTTCAAAAGGCTGCAACAATGAGACAAAGAGATGAAATTTGAAACTATATCCCATGTGCAACAATATGTCCCCACGCTCTCCATTTTTCACTGGCTTCAACCATACACTCACTTTACGTTGAGCACTCTGCTCTCTTAATCAATCTTCTTTTAAGAAGAAAAAAGAAGTAAAAAGATAGACACAGACAAAGCATGCTAAGCCCTGCTTAAACATTCCAATTCAGAAGCTTTTGAAAGACTATTTAATTGCCTTAGGGACATTAACATGGAATGCGTTTAAAATAATCATAAGCATGCAAAATGTATAATCCGAATTAGTAATAGTTTAGGGTAAAGTACCACTTAACTTGGTGGTGTATGTTCATACCTACCCCACTATTTAGGCATCTTTAAAGTAAATAACTAACCATATTAAGAGAATTATGGGAAATAACCGAGGGATATGCACATTATGAATGAATTTCATGATTTGATACACGATCATATTCGCTTCCTTCCAGATAAGCCTAATAATCATCTATCAATTTCGTCTAAACATGTTTTAAATTAATTTTTATAATGCATGCACCATATGAATAAGACTAGTGGAGCTAGCTTGACTGATGCCGTGAACATAGCCCGTGTGTGAGGTAGCAGTTGGGGAATATAATGCCTTTTGCTTGACTAATGAAATTTGGGTAGTGGTGGCCATGTGCGGTTGAGAGAGACAACATCGAAGAGGGCATTCCTATTTTAATTAAATTAACGTGGTTGTATTCTTGAGGATGTGTAAGTGCAATCCACATAGATAAGGTCCTCCATGGGATACATATAAGAGGAGCTAAAGGGTATATTTCATTAAAATTATTAGTTTTGCTTCTCATTTTTAATTATATCAATATTGTGTTTGAACTCATTTTTAATTATTTATATCGACGTAAAAGTTTACATGTGATTAATAATATAATAGAGACTTCATTGATTTTTAAAAAATTTGAAGGTTTAACTGATTTTTTTATTATGTTAAAAATTTATTTAATCTTAAAATAAAACTAAAAATTATTAAATATTAAAAAATGACTAAAAATAAAATAAAATTATAAATATATATGAACTTATAAAATTATTAATTATAAATTAATTTAAAAATATTTTATGAAGTATAAAATATCAAACACTTTTTACAGAGAAATCTTTGACCTTCTCTCTTCAATTTAATTCTTTACACAAATTTTCAATAGACCCATCAAAGTCAAGTATGCAACGCGGTTCAGTCCGAATTAATTAATGTGAAACCTTGAAAGGAGGGCAACAAAAATAATAATAATTTTTGTTCCTTCCTATAATATAAGATTTAGGTTTTATTATGACAAAAATCAAATTAGCGTCATCTTGCAGATTAACCAAACCAGGCTAAGAATACAAGAAAAGGAAAAGCACTTGAAAGCAGCTGCTATAATCATCAATGGAATTATCTTTTATTTATTTTCAAAATCTTGAACAAAGAACAACTCGGTATGATTGTTGTTGCTTCTCTTTTACAAAAGGAGAGCTATAAGGCTCGAACTCGATGTCTCTACCTCGACCCTCAACCATTCCATTCAACCGAACTAAAATCCTAAGTGGCACAAATGAAGAATAGCTTCACCAAAACTGAGCTATTTTCCATTTACAAGAAAAGAAAAGAGAAAAAGAGCATCTGCCTCTTCCCTCTTTTGGGGTTACTCTGTCACTGAATGATTACACCAGTATACGAACCATGGCAAGACCGACTGCGGATATAGAAACGAGTGTACCTATGCAGTATTTTATCAAGTCGTATTTTGCACCTTCCAGATGAGCCTTTAATGTATGAATTTCCTGAACAAGTTGTACCATAGGATATGGAAAACAACAAATGTCACAAATTCGATCAACTAAAGCAAGCCATTTCTTATTCACTTAAAAACACTAACCCGGTCAAGTGTGTTAGTGAGGTTAGATGTTACAGCACTCTGATCTGTGAGCTCATCCCTAATTCGCCTGCAGTTGTTAGAAACCACACATATTTATACACTGTTTTTGGTGGATTTAATGAGAACATAAATGTATGGCGCTAAAAAAAAGATATTCATCTTTTTCTTACCCTCTTTCAAGATTCAAATCCAGTCGATGCTCCGCGATGACTTTGTCAATTTCATGTCTGTATGACAATCAATATCCTTATAAGGGCATCATCATAATAGAAAATGTAGGTATTCAGATTGTAATAGGCAAACGGGGATGGATGTTAGACTCAAAAGCAAGACCTTAGTTCACTGCGCATCTTCTCTATATCATGCCGAAGCTTCTCATTCTCGTGTTGCAGCAATGAATAATGGTGCTCCTGCATAACTTAGTGTTTAGAAAAATAACCCATTTTAACAGACAAAGAGGCACCAACTCAGATCCAATCTTTGGTCTGCATCATAACAAATGTTTCACATTCGAAATTCCAGGAAGAGCTTTGGAGTCCCAAATGTTGACATCATATAACATCAATATATACTGTTTCTAGCAGTGCTAAGATCATATACCATCAATATATACTGTTTCTAGCAACGCTAAGATCATATACCATCAATGTATACTGTTTCTCCCATTCAAGCAATCAAATGTTATTAGTTCAAAACAAGATTTGGAGTCCCAAAGCGACTTATTAATCGAAACAACTCAAAAGGGATTCAATTAATTAAACACACAGATACATACATGCACTAAAATTAACATGTTTGGAAATTCCAATTAAAATAATCAATGTTGAATGTAAAGAATTGGTAAATACCTGAGAACTTTGAACTTCTGATTTCAGCTTCGAAAGATTGGATTCTTGAGTCATTTGACTCTGCCAAAGGACACCCTTTTGCGAGTTAATATAAGGAAATAGGAATAAAATTTTGGAGAAGCACTTACTTCAGTCCAATAAACCGCCTTGCATTGTAACAGAAAAGTACTTACTTTCTGCATGTCAGCCCTGGAAACAACCGAAAGAGACAGATTTTCCAAGCTGCCATTCAAAACTTCAGTTATGGCAACTGTTATGGCCTCAGCTTGCTTCGAAGGCAGACCTTCCGCCTCGAATCTCCTAACCTAAGAACAATGCACACTTTCATTTTCTCAATAATGAAGACGAATTGAAATCAACCTCCCCCCAAAAAAAAAAATTGAAAATTTTGAAATTACCAAAGCTAATGTGTCTATGAGAAACAATCTTTTTCCATTTGACTTCACGAGCTGCTGAGAAACATGTCTGCATTGTGAGAATGGAGAAGGAGAAGCTGACAATCGAATTGCCGAGGGAAGAAACGTTGACGTATCGAGAGGGGAAACCACTCCCTTAAATCTGCTAACTCCGCTTGTCATCCACGAATTGGTTCCGATTTTACTCAAGCGTTTACAAGCAGCCACAGCGGCCATTAAATTGGAAATTTGATTCAAAGAAAATATGCGAATTGAATTCCCAATAAGCGAAAGCTTTAAGCAGAAAAGGGAAAAATGGGTTAGTTATAAGAACATTCGGTTGAATGAATGACGTGAAACTGGAAGAAGAAAAACAAGTACCTGCTGCTGCAGAGTTTGAGAAATATGAGAGAAGAAGATGAAAATGGAGATAAGATAGGATATTGAGGATTATACTAATAGGGGGCATTGCTTACTAAAACAGGGAATGGAATTGGCATTGGCAGCTCTTGTCTCGGGAAACGGAGGGAGGCCTTTCGCTGTTGATTCTTCACCGTCAATTTCAAGGAGAGCAAATCTTTGACTTTTCAACACCACAAAGGATCTCCCGGTTTTTATGTTCTTCAGACAGTCAACTGTTCCCACAAAGGATCTGATTGTTTATTTTTAAGTATATTCATATTTGATTAAAAAAATTTAAAATTGTATTTTTAATTAATTATTTAAAGCCCTCAAACTATGCTACTATTTTAAATTAATCTTTAAACTTTAAAATGTTTTTTATCAGTCCTCAAACTATGACCCCTTCTAAATTAGTCTTTAAAACTTAAAATATTCTATGAGTCCTAAAACTATCAATATCATTCCATTTTGATCTTCTGTTAACATGTGGACAATTCTACTAGTTAAAAAATTTATTTTTTCGGACCTAAGAATTAAATTTGTGACCACCTAAAAAATTATCATGACCTTAAAAACATAATTTTTATAGGTCATAGATTCAATTCTCAGGACCTTCGAAAGTAAATTAAATTTTTATAAGAGGTTACAAGCTCAATTCGTAGGACCTTCAAAAATCACTAGTACTAACGACATATTAATGGAAGTATCAAAATAAAATGATATTGATACTTCAAGGATTAATATCAAATATTTTAAAGTTTATGGATTAATTTAGAATGTGATCATAATTTGGAGATTGATATAAAATATTTTTAAAGTTTATGAATCAATTTATAATATGATAAATTTTTAGGGATCCCCTTTGCAATTACCTTATTGTTTTTCTTACAAGTCATCACATCATTTGTGGATCAATGGACATTCGATTAATAATTTTAGTGATTAACTTTATGGATTAGGATGTATTCCCGTTATAATTATAGTTGTAATATGTAACTTAAAAAATATAATTTGGTGAAAAATATGGCCTTAAAAGTCTCTAAGTTTATGAGCTCGAGTCTTAATTTATCTTAAAAGCATATTACCTACATACATAATAAAAATAGACTTAAATATACAAAAGGTGTCCACCAGTTTAGTGTCTATCGTTTATTTCGTTCCGGTTTGATTTTAACGTTTCATTCTGTTAAACGAGTCAAGCCACGACGGACCGTTAGTTTTATCTGTTAAGTGACATGTGTCACAATCTCTTAATTTTAAAATTTATTTATTAAAAAATATTAAAAATATTATTATATCTATAAAAAAACCTTATTTCTTTTAAATTATAAAAAGCTTCAAAATCCTTAAAATCTCTGAATCCTAACAATAACCCCCTGCCACCGCCTTTTTCGGCTACAACCACTGTCGCCGACGTAGTCCTTGTCATCATCCTAGTTATAAGTCATCGTAGTTGTCGTCGTTTGGCAGTCAAAATCGCTTGGGATTGCTATTTTCATCCTAGGGTTCGCAGGGTATAAAACGTCGATTCGCAGTCGATCGACCTTTGATCAATAACAATTTCATAGGATTTTTGGTTGCCAGGGGGAAGTGAGGGGGTGGAGCCTCATCGATGGCAAAGGGTGGTGGTCGACATGGGTTTAAGAGTTGAAATGAAGGTTTTCAAAGTTTTGGGGTTATTTTGAAATTTATGTGTTTTCTTTTTTAAAAATATATAATTTTATTTTTTTTAAATTTATATATTTTTTAAAATTATCATATTGTGACATGTGTCACTTATCGGAGAAAATTAACGGTCCGTCATGACTTGACCCATTTTGAGTAACGGAATAAAACGTTAGACACCAAACTAGAATTAAATAAACATAAGGTACTAAATTGGAAAAATGAGCATAGGTTGGCCATCAATGAAATCAACCGAAATAAACGGTTTCGCCTGCGATTTATTAAGTTCTCTAGCCCATGAAACTCGGCCGCCAAAATCAGCTCCAGGTCCCGAACACTTGTACTGTCCATAAAATACAGTCCTGCAATGTAAATCCAACATGTTTCAGACACATTACTTAAACTCGTATCTAAATCGACGTAAGGGGAAGAGAGATCATTTACATTCCTCTATTTTTGTCTCCCCAATCATACCATCCTCTTGGAGTGATGATCTTATCCATGTAAGTATAAACAAACACTACCCTAGAGAAAACTCCCAAAGCTCGACCCAAGTAGAGTTCACCCGACCCGGTAACCCTACAGTTAACGAAAGAGAAGACTGTTTCCTCAAGGAAGCTCTCCCTTTTCTGGGCTGTCAAGGCTCCATAGCTGTTGGTAACGGCATGTAAATGGCAGTCCTTGTAGAGGGAACGCCCGTTTCCAAATATGAAATCTACCGAACCTTCAATGTAGCAGTCTTTGAAGTAATGTCGACCAATGTGATCATATAGAGTATCTTGCGCTCCGATGAACTTACAACCGATAAAGGCGGCTGCATCGGCCGAAATCCTCAGTGCCACCGCTTGCTTTCCTAATGCTCCTGATGGCGGTAATGGTGCTTTGTTCTTCTACCCAACAACATTGGTGATTAACATTATAGGAAAGTGATGAGATTGTAATATATAAAAAACAATGGCTGACCTTGAAGGTGATGTTCTTTGCAATGAAATATGGAGAATTAATGGCGAATGTTGCAGAGTCATATATGCCAAGTGAATGGTCTGACTGCCCCATCTTGTCAGCTGTGTCATCCCACTCGATGACTGTTTTGTCTGCACCGGCACCTGCCATAGTTGCAGGGACTTCAATCTTGTCTCTGTATTTGCCATCCGAATTCCGAATCAGAAACCTGTAAGAAACAAAGCTATAAAGAACAACTCTACAAACAAACCTGTAAGTTCCTGCTCCAATGGAGATTACAACCCGGCATTGATTAATGATTGGAATCGGACGAATCGCCTTCCGCACGGAAGAAAACCCTGCTAAACTTGGCTTCTTGTTCACCCTTATGTTTAAGCAGGGCTTTAGTTTGTTCTTTGGTTTTCCAAAGAGTGATTGCTTGTGAAAGGACCTGTGTCTAACCCAGTTCAGATATTGTTTTTCAATCACCTCATATTGGCTAAGGCTGCTTGAGGTTACCGAGAAAGTTGCTCCTATCAAGAGTACGACAAACATGAGTAGCCTCATTATCATATTGCTAGTTAAAAAAAAGAAAAAAAAAAAGAATACAAAGTTTCAAACTTCCTGGAGAATATGTTAAAGCTTAAACTTTTGACATTTGAGTTGATATTGAAGATTCAAAGACTCCATTTTTATGGAGCTGGTTCCAAACCCAAAGAGGATGATGACATTGTAATCCAATATCTGCCATTCCCTTTAGACCAAGCAGTGGCTTTCAGTGGGCTGTTTTTGTCTGTTGGTTTTCCAGGTCATTTACAAGAGAAACCCAAAATTCAATAATTGAAAATAAAGGTCATCTGTTAGGGTACTCCGTGATTGTGTCATGTATGTACTCACCCTTCAATTTTCAGTCTCCATTGTCAGTTTCAGCTTATTCCAAAATCCAGCAAACATGGATTATGAAAACACAGTAGAATTTACTTTGATTTGATAAATCTGGGTAATGCTAGCAAGTTTTTGTGATGGGAGTAGGAAATTATTGGGGTTTTCACTTTTCACAGCGGTTTGACATTTTGGGTTTGAATGGGAAATGGTGCAGAAAGAGAACAAGATGAATAAAGAAGGTGGACCATATCTAATTTCTCTTATTATTTCTAGAGTGAGCTAGCTTGCTAATATGCTAAGAGAAAGAACAAAGCGAACGTTATTGTTTTTGGCCAGAAGCGTGGAACAGTATGACAAAGGGATGGAAACTGAGTATTGTTATGATTGAGAGAAAAAACATGTAGATAAATTCCAGGTTATCAAAGCTAATTTTCTTTGGTCTTCAGCATCTTTCTCGTCTATTGATGTCGTAGTAGACAGTGCACTGCCACAGAGTGCAGTTTTTGAGCTGAGATATTGGCAAATTCATCTGGTTTCCAATGACCTTTACAGATTAGCAATGTAGAAACCATGTGCATCTTCCTGCGTGGCAAAATATAAAGTATAACTTCATTGTGCCATATCTTAGCAGAAGAAGAATAAAAAATGTTAAAAAAAAGATCTTAAATTCCGTTGCCGGGACTTGAACCCGGGTCTCTCGGGTGAGAGCCGAGTATCCTAACCAACTAGACTACAACGGATTCTGGTGTTTAGGCTTTGAGGATGGAAAGAAGGGTTTTAGTGTGTTTCCTCAAGCTTCCCACACTACTTCCCTATCCATTGCCAACACATTCTAGTTCGGCCTGACTTTGTATTTTCAGTCAGCTCGAGAAAGGTATGTCTTCTCTCGCCAGTAGCCCAGTATCTTTCCCGCATTTATATTGCTTCCTCTGAATGCTCACTGGTTTAACACTGAATAACCTGGAAACCGTTTCTTTAATTAGTCTTACATTTATTCGGCCCTTAAGTTCTCTCAATTTATATGGAAAAAGTTCGCTGCTTTCCAGCCGCTTTTAATTGGTGAAGATAAATTTGCAGCCTTTCCTGCGATTTTAGCTGAACTGTTGTTGGTTGATAATGGGTGTCTTTCCGATTAGCGTCTTGATATTTTATTCTTAACGGTTTTCAAGCTACCCAATGGGTTGGGTTATAACTTATAAGAAAGTGAAACAAAATGTTCTATTGAGATGTTTTCAAGGACGATAAATGAATGAATTCATATATATATATATATATATATATATATATTGAGTAAAGAATGAATTCATATTAGATTCAATGTAATGGGGTATACTGTTTACTTTTACAGAGGAAATAAAATAGGCAATGTTAAGTTTTGTTTATTCTTTATTCAATTCAAATTGCCATCTAACGTAGCTCATTGAGATTTTTTCTTGGACAAAAGCCAATCGAGGTATTAAAAAATGAGCGTCTCTGGACTGACCGGGAGTCCCTCAAGATGTTGTCTTTGGCTACCTGACCGCAATCAAGGGTTGGTAGTATGCAGGAAAGTTTCGGCTATTCCGATTGCTGGCAAACCAAATGAGAAATTCAGCAATCTTCGTCTTGCAAGGTAGAGCTCCGGCAACATGAACTAGTAAACTAAACTTTGAGTTTGGTAACATGATGCTGTGGTCCTTTTACTGTTACGGTACAGGAATAGTTGGACGGTTTCTATCAGAAGGTGGAAGACACAGAAAACTCATTTGATCAAATGTGCAATGGATGCGTCCTATGGTGATATGGCTAGTGAATCGGGTGGTAATATTGAACTTATGGAGAATTGTTTCACTGAATTGTGCTTTTCTGCTAATTTTATTCATTAACTGCTTTTGCAGGATCAACTATATTTCCTAGGATTAATGTTCGGGACCCATACAAACGGCTAGGAATAAGCAAGGAGGCTTCTGAGGATGAAATTCAAGCTGCACGAAACTTCCTTATTAGTAGATATGGGGGGCATAAACCTAGTGTGGATGCAATTGAAGCAGCCCATGACAAAATAATTATGCAGAAGTTCTATGAAAGGAGGAACCCAAAAATTGACATCAAGAAAAAGGTCAGGGAAGTCAAACAATCCCGGGTTGTACAGGCTGTGACAAGCAGATTCCAAACTCCACCCACCAAGGTCATTGTAAAAACATCCTTAGCATTTTTAGTGCTTGGAGTTCTCACTGTTCTCTTCCCAACTGAAGAAGGCCCAACCCTGCAAGTAGCTATATCACTGTTAGCTTCCTTCTACTTCATACATGATCGGTTGAAGAGCAAAGTCCGAGCTCTACTTTATGGGTATGTGATGACATTTCCAGTGTTAACCTAAAATATGATACGGTATCCCTGATATCTCTTTCTAAGGCATTTTCTTCTTAAATTTTCATTTTAGTCTTAATATAATCCTGCAGCCTTTACATATAGTACTTGTCAAGAAGATGAATGTTCCTAATCAGATCCTTCCAAACTATGATGAATAATTAGCACCCTATGTAATCAATTTATATCTGCAGGGCTGGAGCTTTTATGTTCTCCTGGTTGGTGGGAACCTTCTTGATGGTATCCGTGATTCCACCTATTCCTATTCTTAAGGGCCCGAGGAGTTTTGAAGTGTTGACATCATTGATAACCTATGTGCTACTTTGGGTTTCTTCCACATATCTAAAGTAGTGCTAGAGCATCAGGTTTCTTATTATAAGACTCCCAATTTTGAAGTAGTGGATAACCACAGATTTTCTTTTTAGTAGCTCATTGAGCATGTTATATTAGCTTATGAGAGCTGTCATATTTCTACTTTGAACATTGATGATAATTGTGCTGAAGTTATCGCCCAAAACCACAGTTTGCTAGAAAAAAGATTTGTGGGCAAATTATTTTTGTTTTGTGGTAAAAGATGTAAAACCAGTTCAAAGTAAAGATAGGTTGTTGATTTTCTGAATTGTGGTTTCTTACATGCGTTTTTCTTTCCCTTGTTCTACTCCCCGTATTTGTGACTAAGACTCTAAATCGTCTTGGAAATGCTCAGAGAATTTGTTTGTGGGGTTGAAAATTAGAAACAGTATCATACATCATTTGAAGCACCCGAGCTCTAAGATGCACCGTAACGGCAGAGAACAGCCTTGTGTTTTCTCATCGGTGTTTTTATGTTTTTAAGTTGCAGTGTCTGCTTCTGTTCCACAATGATTCCTATATTCCTCTGAAGGATATTTTCTCCTCCACAACCAAAGGCGTCTGCTTCTTTGTTTATTTAGTTGCATTTTCCATAGGCGTACAGCCAAATCTCTCGACTATGGGGCCATTGATGTTACGACAGAATTGCTTGGTCATAATGATAGGGAAGCGGTGGCGGATTGATGAACGTTGCTCTTGTTGAAGAATCAAACCTAGAAAGCTCTAGACTCGATTAAGAACAAAGGGAACGAATAGGGGAAGGTGGCGGTAGCAAGTAGGGTTCTTAGAGTTTCTTTTATGTGCTGGAATCAAGGCAATAAGATTAGAATAAAATAAACAAAAGATAAATAAACGGAAGATGAAATAAGATAATAAAGAAATCAAAATATCTCCCTTATGAAGGTGAACGGTAAAGACGATTGATGGTGCGAATGGATTTGTGGATAATAGATGGATAAGTGTCCTATCGAGCCCTCCTAGTCGCAATGAAAAGGCAAACACGATAAATGGCTCTAACCAACCCTCCTAGTCGTGATGAAAAGGCAAATTGGAGTGTGAAGATTAATCTCCCTCACAAGAACTTGAAAGAACTCAAGGAGAAGAAGCTTCGAAGGCACAAGGCAATCAGCACTTGCAAAAACGAACTCTCGTTGTATTATTAATCAAAGAAATCTGATTTACAAAGTTGAATGAAGCCTCCTTTATATAGGGGCTGAATTCTAAAGGTCCTAAATAACTAAAGAATAAAATATTAATAAACTAAACATGTTTTAACCCTAATTCCTAATAAAATAATAATAACTAAAAATATTGTTTTAACCCAACCTTAATTCCTAATAAAATAATAAATCTGATCCTAAAAGATAATTAATCATCCTATATTAAATTATATTACAAATAATCAATATAAATATTGAAAATTCGTAATATTTACAAAATAACGTATTAATCCCGTATAGGATTTCCTGCATGCACGTCTTCAGTAAAATGACCATATCTGAGTTCCCGATATCGGATTGATGCGATTCAAGAACCGTTAGAAAGATAAGAGACATACGGTTGTATCTCCAGAAGACATGCCGACCAAATAATATCAGGATCCCATTCAAAAAGTCGTCTCAAGTGCGCTGCTGTTCTGATCTTCTTTTCCAAAGCTTGGACGAGTGGATCATTTGGAAGAGTTATTACTTCTTCCTTTGATGTGAACCTTGTGATGCATGTATCATCCTCCCTTTCTTCAAAAAGATTCGACCTCGAATCTGAAACATTAAAGGGAGCAACATTAGAATAGTTTAGTAATTCATTCACATTATGCTTACCGAATAGATATGCTTTGAATCTTCGAGACTTTGTTCTTCTAATAGGTTCGAGTAGAAACATTAGTCCAAAGAAGGAGAAGAAGTACGTTACAATGTCATTAAAATGAGTAATAAAATATTTACCTTTGGACTCTCGTAAATCGTGACTCTTCATTGGTATGGCATAGTGATTAGGGCTTTCAGGTGGTAACCCGTCAGGAGGGTCACCTAGCACTATTCGACAACTCTTGGTGATGGAAGATGGTGTGGTCCAGTCTCGTGTTGCTTTTACTTTCTCATCATTTACATGGATTCCCTGTGCACGAACTATAAAGCATGTGGAGTTGTTCAAGTCATGTTTCGTCATTAAGATGACGTTACGACTAAGGCTTTCATGGATGTAGCCTTTTTGTAACAAATCTAACTCTTTGGTTTCTTCGAGATTGTATGTTTGACGAGGTATGATGGAACCTTGAATTAGATTGGTTTGGTGTTTTTTCCTTTTTCCAGTGGTAATCCGTCAGGTGGATCACCTAACACTTCTCGAAAATCCTGTAACAAAGATGAAAACACACTAGGCAAATCCTTGTTAATGTTAGAAATCGAAACAATTGATTCTCTAAAGCGAACAAGGATGAAAGGCTGTTTGTAAAGAAGGTTCTCTCTCAATTCTTTTGTGCTCACACGTAGATTTTGAGTCACTCTTTTCTTCTCACAATTAGGTTCACTCACCTCCCATGGGTCATTATACTTTTGGCTTTTGTAACTAGTGACCTCTTTTTCTTTTGCCTCTTTCTCAACTTTTTCTTTTTTTGATTTCCCTACCTCCTCACAAATTTGATCTTTAGGGGCTAGAAGTGTGTCATTCTTTGCTGGTCGTTCTTTCTCATTGTCAGGTTTGTCATCTCTTGGCTTTTTCAGAGAAGATGGAGTAGAAGATGAGGAAGGATTTGAAGGATTACCTTGGTAAGAGGATGAAGTACCTTGGTAATGTTCACTGATTCGAGATCTCCTTTGGATTTGTGCTTCGATTGTCATTGCTTTCTTTAGTGTATCTTCAAGGTTTTCGTACCCTTGTAGATCAAGAAGATCAGTGATGTTTGAGTTTAAGCCGACGACGAATCTTGATACGGTGACTTCTTCTTTTTCGGTTATGTTAGCCCTATTGAGTAAGGACTGCATCTCCTTGTAGTAATCTTCAACTGAACTTCTACCTTGTCGAAGTCGGTGTAGTCGTTGTTTAACTTCTCGTGTATAATGTGTCGGTAGGAATCGGTTCCTCATGGTTTGTTTGAGGTCGGTCCAAGAAGTGATTGTTGGAATTTGGAAGTTCTGGATCTTTTTCCTTGTTTGCATCCACCAAGTTCGAGCATATCCTTCAAATTGTATGGTGATCAGGTGAACTTGTTTAGCTTGGGGGCAGTCATGGTATGCGAACATGAGATCAACTTTTCCTTCCCATTCGATGTACCTGTCTGGATCGTTGTCTCCTTTGAAAGACGGGATCATGAACTTTGGTTTTGTAAAGAGTTTGGGTGCTTGGAAACGTGGTTGTTCTTTCTCGGGTACCAAAAGTTCAACATTGTGTGGTCTTGGATTATGGTTTGGTAGATTCAGTTGTGGTTCTTGTCGTTCTCTCACGATTTCATCAAATCTTTCAACTTGAGTCTTGAGTCGGGCAAGTGTGGCTAAGATAGCCGTAAGTGTCTTGTTGTTAGTGTCGCCCATTCTGAAATCATAACACTCAAAAGAAAATTTTAAAGTAAAATAAAAATAAAATAAATTCAACAAAGCAAGAAACCTCACAAGTCACTCCAAGAAAGTAACACAACGAGAGGCAAGTAAGCCGATATTGTACTCTTTAAAACTCACTTTACCAAGTAGTCTTTCACAGTTCGTATCGGAGTTTGATTACTAGCAAAGGCGATAAGAAAAACCTAAAAGCTCTAAGAGGCCAAACAAATGTTAGACTCCAAGCGAACGAGAATGCAAAGAAGGAAGAAGTATGCAAACTCTTTAGTCCTACTAACACAATGAAGATAATGTGTTAGATAATGTAAAAGAACAATAACAAGGAAAAAAAAAGAACTTAAAGCACTAAGAGTCAAAGAAAAAAAAGAACCAACCCAGAAACCTGGAAAACGCTGGATCAATTTGAGCAACGTTTTTGAGGGGTTACCGGTGTCAAAAATTCTTGAAAAATTCTTGAATGTCTTTTGATGCGTCAAGAAACCACCTGTAAAATTTCAGAACCAAATACCTCAGTAGTATCCAGTAGACTCTGTTGAACGGTGAGTCCTCAAACAATCTGTTTTTCTTGATCGCTTTGTTCGAAGGTGTTGTTGATCTCCAAAAATTCTGATTTTTTGTTTGAATGATCTTCAATATATGAATTTTCAATCTGGAAATTTTCACCACGAAATTCCTCCTGTAAAATTTTCAAGAAATTCGACAAGATTCTAAACCGAATCTGCCGATGAAACTTGAATGATGTATTTGAAGGCTCCAATGAACTCCAATTGGGGTGAAATTTGGACTGGGGTTTAATCTTAGAATGAATATGATATATGGATAAAATCAGCCCTAAATACCTTCGTTTGCAATTTTTTTTTTGAAATTTTGGCTTTTTTGGCTCTTTTTTTGTTTTTTTGCCTTTTTTTTTTTTGCCTTTTTTGTTTTTTTGAAAAAAAAAATAGCAAACTAACAAGAAGGATTTAAATCTAAATTAAAATTAAATAAAAAGAACCTGAAACGCTGAATCTTTTGTGAACTAGCTCCGTTGGGGTACCTTGACGATTTTGTGTGCAAGAACAAGCAAGATTGCTTGTTTCTTTCCAAGAATCGGCCCAAATCTGATACCAATTGATAGGGAAGCGGTGGCGGATTGATGAACGTTGCTCTTGTTGAAGAATCAAACCTAGAAAGCTCTAGACTCGATTAAGAACAAAGGGAACGAATAGGGGAAGGTGGCGGTAGCAAGTAGGGTTCTTAGAGTTTCTTTTATGTGCTGGAATCAAGGCAATAGATTAGAATAAAATAAACAAAAGATAAATAAACGGAAGATGAAATAAGATAATAAAGAAATCAAAATATCTCCCTTATGAAGGTGAACGGTAAAGACGATTGATGGTGCGAATGGATTTGTGGATAATAGATGGATAAGTGTCCTATCGAGCCCTCCTAGTCGCAATGAAAAGGCAAACACGATAAATGGCTCTAACCAACCCTCCTAGTCGTGATGAAAAGGCAAATTGGAGTGTGAAGATTAATCTCCCTCACAAGAACTTGAAAGAACTCAAGGAGAAGAAGCTTCGAAGGCACAAGGCAATCAGCACTTGCAAAAACGAACTCTCGTTGTATTATTAATCAAAGAAATCTGATTTACAAAGTTGAATGAAGCCTCCTTTATATAGGGGCTGAATTCTAAAGGTCCTAAATAACTAAAGAATAAAATATTAATAAACTAAACATGTTTTAACCCTAATTCCTAATAAAATAATAATAACTAAAAATATTGTTTTAACCCAACCTTAATTCCTAATAAAATAATAAATCTGATCCTAAAAGATAATTAATCATCCTATATTAAATTATATTACAAATAATCAATATAAATATTGAAAATTCGTAATATTTACAAAATAACGTATTAATCCCGTATAGGATTTCCTGCATGCACCGTCTTCAGTAAAATGACCATATCTTGAGTTCCCGATATCGGATTGATGCGATTCAAGAACCGTTAGAAAGATAAGAGACAGACGGTTGTATCTCCAGAAGACATGCCGACCAAATAATATCAGGATCCCATTCAAAAAGTCGTCTCAAGTGCGCTGCTGTTCTGATCTTCTTTTCCAAAGCTTGGACGAGTGGATCATTTGGAAGAGTTATTACTTCTTCCTTTGATGTGAACCTTGTGATGCATGTATCACATAAGCTCACTTCTACAACTTGAGGTGATCAATGAGGCTAACGCATTGATTCTACTACACCATTCTCTTCCATGCTTTCAATTGCTGTCCTTGTTAGAAAAATTTGCACCTTCTCTTATGGCTGCAGAATTAGTGGCTACTGGTCAATGCCTTAACTCCAGGACACCTCTTGCATTGAAATATGATACGTATTTTTGTTGCATACAGAATACGTACTTGAAACAAAGGGACATATATTACTTTAGACTGTCATTTATTTATGTTCATCTTCACTTAACATCGGCATGTATTGTAATCAGAAGAATCTAATACTTGATTTCTTATTAGAAAGAGAATGAATGCATCAAACTGATTCCGAGAAGGAAGTTAATTTGTTGGTTCACTAGAAGAAAAATATAAGCATTCCCAAGTTAACGACACTTTAGGCAGTCGAATTTACGTCTACATGTTGCCTTTTGGGTGATCTTAGCATTGATTCTGGTTTTGCAAATTTAAGGATATTCAACCTTTTATTTCAAGACAAGATTACCAGAAGATATGTACTTAAAGCCCCCACCTTGTATCAGCCACACCTCTGCCATACCAAGTTGCCAAGTAAGCATCCCTTGTGTCAGTTGATGATAGGCCCGCGTTTAACAGCCTCAAACAAGATATCTCTTGGCAGTTTTTGTCTGGTGGGTAGTCAGAAGTTGAGGCTACCTTGAACTTGAATGCAATGAACCAAGCTCCAAACCCATGGCATGTGTCATCTCATATGGAAGAGTCCTTCAAAATACATGCCTGAAGACGTGGGGAGGCAGGCCTGAGAATGTGAAGTCGGCGCAGGAAGCGCTGCTTATCCGGGCAAATACCAATTCTCTTGCTCAACTCGGAAAGTACACAAGTGAGGGAGAGTCGGAGGAAGCCAAGCAAGGAATGTTTGTCAAGGGCTATGTCTATTAGCTTGTCCGTATCTTCCAATAGCTTTATAAATTTAATTGCACTGAAAATTTAATCGGAAGAGCAGACTACTGATCTTTCCATCATTACAAAATCCTTTCGTTCTCTCCTTGTTTTCTGTTATAATGAAATTGATCATATCTTATCATGTAATGGAGAGTCCTACATGTCCCGAAGTGCCTTCGACATGTGTTGTTGGCCTCCATCCTATCTGTTACTATTGTCATCATCAGTGATTGATCTTCCTTCTTGTTATAGTTATCAGGTTCTTTGCCCATACATAACTTGCATCCGGATCTGGTCGCTTGGACCATTTAGGTAGTCGAACAATTTCAGCCTTAGCGCTTTAACATGTCAAACAAAAACAAAATTTAGAAAAAACGACAGGTTAGAGATCAGTTCTTTGCAATGAATTACATTCTTCTGTTTCTGGTATGAGCAATGAGGGCAGTCTGAAAACTTTACTGAACAACTATTCTAGTTCATGGAGAAGTGAAAGAGATGATAATTTGACCAGCTATGGAGAAGTTAAGAGAAGGACAAATGAGGTGTCCCCAGGCTACTGGCTTCCTAGTAAAATTTAAGCAAACGGAGATCAGGTCTACTTGTCATCATCACTGCCGCTGAGAACATCGATTTATTGTTCCTTCGGACATAAAAACCGACAACACAGATCAATTTTGCAAGCTTAAGAGAACTGTTTTGATGTATAGACGGAATTTAGACTATAGTTTTTATCCCTGAATGTACTTGTGTAATGTAGGTGCACATACATGATCGCATCAAGTACAGAATTTGTCGACAATAAAACCGGAAAAACTTACAGGAACTAAGACAAGCAACAGAACTAAGATATTTGAAGGATGACAGTTTCGTAAATTGAAACATGTTTGTTTTGTAAAAAAAAAAACAAACAAAGCAGCATTAGCTGCTGCATAGTTGACATTTCACAAATAATATTGGCAACTGGCATTGCCAGGCCAAGGCACAATATGACCATTTTTTCATCCTTTTTGATATCATAGGCCATAGTTTTTTTCTTTCAATTTTAATACAATCAAAAGCCTCATTTAGGCTTACAGGGTATAGATTTATTGCACAGGGATTACAACACTCAAACCCACAAACTTATTAACTATTAACAAATACACAATTTCTTCGTTCAAAACAAGACGGCAAACTATTGTAAGACCTGTGAAAACAGTTGCAGCATAGGATAGCAGAGAAAAGAACGTGAAAGTTGTTCACAATTATCATTCCTCTGGTGCAATTTCAAAACGACATGTTGAGCATTTCCATGCTCAAGCTCTCCATCATCGCGTTTTCCATGAATCCGCACTTAGTCGGTGCAGACTTTATGAAACTGCTTAGCCTTGGCTTGAATGAGCATGAAGAAAGGGGAATGATTGGAATGTTCTCGCAGTTGCAGAGCTCAACCATGTAACCATCTGGATCGTGGAAGAACACCTGTTCAACCTTGTTCCCTTCGTCTTCGACCAAAGCTGTGACATACTTCATTCCCATATCTTCCAGCCTCCTTAAGACAAGGCCAACATCTGTACACTGTCATCAAAAACCAAAAACTTGTTAACGCTGCAGGTGGAGGCTTAGTTTCTGAAATATTCAACTTGAATTCATATACTATACCTGGAATGATATGTGATTATCCTTAGGATTAATCGGTCGTGGTTCAACGATATCTTCAAAATCATCGATGGATGGATTCTCAATTAAGTGTATCCCAATGCCGTAATTATACAACCTGCGTAACATCAGTTATTTAGTTTCCTGTTTCATTGAAAACCGGATTTATAGAAGAAAGGGCAGTGCAGAAAGCTTACCAAGCTCCATTGAACTTGAAAGAAGAAGGGCGTTTGATGGGAACAAAGCCCAATACTTCTTCATAGAACCGCATCGAATCCCAAACCGATCTACACAAGAGTGAGACATGATTCAATGACAGAAGTGGCAATGCCTCAAATTTGTTTACTTCCACAGTGTCCATGTTCTCACTCTTACACTTTTCTTCTTCCTTTGTCTAATATCTCCACTTTGGATGATGACTAGGTTACTCTGCCTTGTGCTCCTTTTATAGAGAGAAACACAAACACCCCATTTTCTGAATTCAAATTCAAGTAATCAAGAGGAACTTTCCTGGCAAATTCTCTTAACTTCTCAATCAGATACATAGACAGTAGAAATTTTCTTCTAACGTTCCTTTCATTCCAAATCAATGTTATATACTTTCTGGTTTGAAGATTTTTGTGTGGATTCCAAGTAGCTAGTTACTGCTTTAGAACGCGTTTTGTACTAATAATTCATCTGCAGAATTGCAAGACAAAAACAAAGCTATGTGGTTCAGCTTGTAGCCTAAGCTCTTTAAGGTTAATGTGGAATTAGCTGCTGCTAAGATCAAATGACAAATCGATTCTATTATGATTCATTTGCGCCCAAAAATGGCGATTTAAAAAGCTTAACCAAATTTCTCTGCGGTTTAAGCGTTGCGAGGAATCCTAAAGACAGAAAGTTACAAAGTCCCGAAAAGGTAAGAAATTTCTTTGCTGCTTCCCCTTTACAATATGACATTATCCAAAAAGCGAAAGCGAAAGTTTAACCCTTGAAAGAACCCTCAATGAAATCATTCGGACCATTTTTTTCTCTCTACGTGCTTGCCTCATGCACGGTTTTAAATTGCAGTGGAACAGCTGTGATGGTTTGTGCGTGAGTTGTGCAAGTGAGAAATACAGTGAGTGATAGTTTGGGCAGATGCTAGCAGCAGTTAGTATGCAATATTTATGTTCAAATAAGTGATAAATATATAAATATATATATATATATATATATATATATATATGAACACAAAACTTTATAATAGGATATTTATTTAAAAATACTTATATCATATATACAACAAATATTGCATTGCAGTTGGTGTTTACATCTTTATCATCCCCAGCCCCATGCATGGCGAACACATCACACAGTTGCTAATACAAAAGTACCCGAACACTACTAAATAACTTTTGGCTATGGGATTTGTTGGATTTAGGTCGTGTTAATATAACGTTATAAATCTTTAGAGTTCGTAATCATTTTAATTTTACGGTATTCAATTGAGTTTAAATCATTAAGGATGCTTTTGGATGGGGGAAAGAAGATTACCTGGGGGAAATTTTTTTTTCAGAATGTAATACCCATGTTTGGATTGCAAAGATTTCTAATATAGGGTAATAAGTCATTCCTAACAGTGGCATTTTGAGGATGTTTTACCGAAAATGTCATTCCCCCCAATTACTTAGATATTTGTCATTTCCCATGGGTTTGGACTAAAATGCACTTAAAATATTTTTTTTTTCAAAAATATCATTCTTCTGTTGTTGAATAAAAAATATTTTCTATGAAGGTTAAATTGTAAATTTATCCTTAAATTGTTTTAGATTTACAAAAAAGTCCACAATTAGAATTTTATATGAAGTTCAGGGGTTAAAATAAAATTAAACCCTTTCATTAAACCTATTTATCTTTTAAATTTTATAAAAAAATTATATAAATTTTATGAATTTAAATTTTATAAAGAAAATATATAAATTAAAAATAGTAAAATTATATATTTTCTATGATCTTTTATACAAATATTTTCATTTGAATATTTAGAATTCAACTTGTTAAAAAACAAATATATAATAAGGACAATTTGATAAATATACATTCCAATAATCTTTTATTCATTTAACCAAACATTATATTCTTACATTCCTGCTAAACAAACCAAACACAACAATACAACATTCCCAATAATATATCATGTAATGTTATATTCCGGTAATTCTATTCCGGGAGGTAATATTACATTTCATAAACCAAAAACACCCTAAGATTTGTCAGTAAGATTTTGAGGTAAGATAATTTTGGATTAAGTTGTTTGAAGTTCGTTTATTTGATTTACCATTCAAGTTCATCTCATTTTTAGTTAATTGTTTGGGTTATCGTGAGTTTAGAGCCATTCGAATTTAAGTCATTTATGCTTCATATTTGAATCGATTAAATTGAGTTCAAGTTATTTCTAGTTTAATTTTAGCTTAAGTTATTTTTGATATAAATCATTTTGATTTAAATTATTTTTTATTTTGAATTAACTGAATTTTTTGTCTTCTTAAAAAATGTTTTTCATTATTTATATTTTGGAACAAATATCTCAAATTTCTCAAATCAGATAAAGTTTTCAACCCCAAATGATGGATTTTTTTATGTTTAATTCCGTTACTTTTAAAGAAATTTTGAAGAAAAAAAATCTAAATTGACAAAGTGACAGAGGTGATGATGTGAGTTTATCTATATCTAAGGTGGTCGCTAGTAACGGATGCACTAAGCCCCCTAGGTATGGATGGATCTAGAGGGACAGGTGGGGGCGATCGCCCCTTAAAAAATTTTAAATTTATATATATTTTAGATATTTTATTTTTATTTTTTTATTATAAATATATTTTCGTCCCCAAAACCTTATAAATTCTCAACTACTTAGAATTTTATATGTTCGCCACTCTTAACATCAAATCTTTCGTCCGTCCTTGCAGGGGCCAAGTGTATCTCAATATTTTGAAAAAATGTTTAAATTTAGTTTAATGTGTTGAGGAAATTTTTTGCATATTTTTTATTTTTAAGAAAAGAATATTATAATTTTGGACTCTATTCTTAAATTTCTAGATCACTACAAACAATAGGCAATTTAATTATATAAATTAAAATCCATATATATATATATATATAAATTAAAATTTAATTATTTTTAAGCAATACACAATTTGTTCATGAAAAAACAAGACAGCAGGCCATTGTAATTTGTAAGAACTGTGAAAACAATTGTAGCGTATAATAGGAGAAAAAAGATGGTGAAAGTTTTCTTTTCTCTGGTGCAATTTCAAAATGACATGTTGAGCATTTCCAAGCTCAAGCTCTCCATCATCGCGTTCTCCATGAATCCACATTTAGCCGGTGCAGACTTGATGAAACTGCTTAGCCTTGGCTTGAATGAGCATGAAGAAAGTGGAATGATCGGAATGTTCTCGCAGTTGCAGAGCTCAACCATGTAACCATCTGGATCATGGAAGAACACCTGTTCAACCTTGTTCCCTTCCTCTTCGACCACGGCCGTGACGTACTTCATTCCCATGTCTTCCGGCCTCCTTAAGACCAGGCCAACATCAGTACACTGTCATCAAAAACCAAAACTTGTTAATGGTGCAGATGCAGGCTTAGTCTCTGAAAGATTCAATTTTAACTCAAACACTATACCTGAAAGGATATGTGATTATCTTTAGGATTAATCGGTCGCGGTTCAGCGATAGTGTCGAAATCGTCGATCGTTGGATTCTGAAGTGTATCCCAATGCCATAGTTATACAACCTGAATAAGATCTCACACATCAGTTTCATTAAAAACTGGGGAATTATTGAACAATGATAAAGCGATAAGCTTACCAAGCTCCATTGAACTTGAAAGAAGAAGAGCGTTTGATGGGAACAAAGCTCAAAACTTCTTCATAGAACCGCATCGAATCCCAAACTGATCTACACAACAATGAGACATGGTTCAATGACAGAAGTGGCAATGCGCCCTCGAAGTTGTTTACTTCCACAGTTTCCATTTTCTCACTCGTACACTCTGCTTCTTCCTTTCTCTGGTATCTCACTTTGAATGATGACTAGGTTACTGCCCTTATGCTCCTTTTATAGAAAGAAACATCCCATTCCCTAAATTCAAATTCAAGTGACTACGAGGAACTTTCCCGGCAAATTCTGATCTTACTTCCCAAGCTAATATATGTGGATTACAAGTAGCTAGTATTTTCTTTAGAACGCGTCTTTTTTTTGTACTGATCATTCCATATGCAGAAAATCAAGTTGAAATTAAAAAACAAAGCTGTCTGGTTTAGCTTGTTTGTTGGAGATGGTGCTAAGATCATTGACAATTCTACAATGGATCATTTAAGCCCAGAAATGTTGAGTTTGAAGGCTAAAACCAAACAAACATCAAGGGGCAGCAGTGCCCTTTTAGTAATCCTAGAAACAGGAGGTAGAAAGTTCCAAAATGGTGAGAAATTTCTCTGCTGTTTCTCCTTTTATAAGATATATATTAATCAAGGAAATTCCATCTGCCCAATGGATAAATTTAACTGTCTCCAAGCTATCTGTTTTGGGGTTTAGACAAGGCGGGCCTTGCGGTCTTGTACTAACTTGAAGTCCAAATCAAGGCAAAATAATTTAGTAGAACTTGTACATGCCTTAAACTGTCCAGACCATGAATGCCATCTTGAATATCAATACCAAGGTCTAATTCCTATACTATATTAAAATCTACTTTTATAATCAACGGGTCGATTTAAGTGATAAGCAATTTAATATTACTTAAGTAGGTCTTAAATTCAAGGTCTTGTATATGTAGAAAAACTTGTCGGGATCATCAAAATCAAATGTGCGGCATGAATCGGTTCGGATTAAATAAGATAAATCTTCAAAAATTAGGAGGACGAAAAAAAGAAAAGAAATTAGGGTTATCTTTTTTTTTTTTTAATTTAACCGGTTGTCTTTACTTTTATAATACTATTAAACTTTAATATAAAATTAAGTGTCCAAATTATACATCTTCTCATTTACATGCGTAATTATTTTCCGGTCAATTCAGATATCTAACATTATAAACGTTACCATTTTAAACGTCTCGATCATAACAATAGTGATTATTTTAAAGAAGATTCTGAGTCAGCTACTAACAGCAACGTTAAACAAAAATTAATTACGCAATTAAAAAAGTTTCAGGTGATAATTTGGAGAAACGTCATATATTTTATTGGTTTGATCAACACGCCCAAATGCATTAAACCAAACTATCTGTCAATAGCTATGAGGGCTACCTGTTCCACTTTTCTTTTCTTATATATATATATATATATTCTCTACTAATATACATCTACCTAACCTAATTGACATTACCATTATATTAAGCATTCATGCTGGAATTAATAAAAGGATCATGAGTTCAATTTTTTTGTCACAAATAATCATATATTAATTTAAATCTTGATTATAAAATACATATAATATAAAATTTGTGATTACAAATGAAGCTATATTTGGACCACGTAAGGCACTAATGGCATCAATTGAAGTACGACATTCATAGATAATGACTCTTGATTTGAGTAACACGAACCACAAAAACCCTAATTGAAATGCCCTGTGAATTCGGGCTTCATTGCCATTTGCCACCCTGCTCATTTGCCCACTGCCGTGTAATCAAACAGGGCCCTGTTGGAATAGACGACATTAACTCGTTTGAAAGCAAAACAAAACAGATTGATACGTATCAATCTTCGTAAACCCAAATCAACCCCACTTGACAGTGTAGTGTAGCTCTGCATCTTCCGTTGAACGTAACATTATTATTTTTTTATCAGTTAGGTTTTTCTCTCTTGGACCGCATAAACTGAAAACAAAAAGAAATGCAACTAAGAAGCAGCTAAAAAAAAAAAACAGAGCCGAAAACAAGACCAAAAGCAATGTCTTGAATCCAGGGAAACAGAGGCATATGCATTGTTATCAAATAGTATACAGTTTGAAGACCCCATTTATGATTCGGATTATCAGTTAGGCTTTCTTTGAGACATTTTTTTAAGGTAGCCCAATTATTAAGTAAGTGTTATTACTAAACATATGGTTGTTGCAATGTTTTCATAGTAAAAAGATGTTTAAACACCTTGTTAACAATTAATTATAGATGTGATTTTGATAATCTAGCAAACCGTCCCCATCTTGTCGGTGGGATTATTAATTCTTGCACTGCACTCAAAAGATTTTTTTCAGAGAAAATAAAAATTAATCAAAAACTAAATCATAAATGAATATTATTATTTTCTTTATTTAATCTACAGAGATATACAGTTGTTTATAATTAATTGGTTAGGTTACATAAAGCGAGTTTCAACCATTCTTGGTCGGTTTATACTTTTAAACAATAAGCTCCTAATGCCAAATTTAAATTTTATTATTATCATATTAAATTTCAGAAGAAGAGATATCAAACAAACCAGAAGGTGACATTTTCCATGTGTTGAAAAGGCTAATTTGAAAGAAAATGCACTTATTTCTCTATAATATATTGTTAAGAGCTCTATGCTCATGGAGACTAGAATTACAGTATCCCCCCCCCCCCCCAATAAATCTCGTCTTGGTACCCATCAATGCTTAACCTTCACATTTTCGAACCCACATTTTTTTCCTAATAAAATAGTAAATGAATACCAATTCAACCATGTAAATGGATTTATTAATATCCGTCTAATAGAGTGTATTCTCTTATTTTTGAGAGCGTAAATTCGAATATGTGAAGATATATAAAATGGTAAAAGAAATTAAGAAATTTATAAATATTCAAAAAGAATAATTTCATTAATTAAAAAAAAGAATAATTTCATATTATACTCTTATTAATCAATCAGACATGTTAATTAATAATGTTTTAAGAAAATAAAAGGCATATATCCTACATTGAGAAGGAATATACTTTTAGAAGGTTATTTAAAGGTCACTACTTCCTTCTTTCGCTGAATGGGGCATAATAACTCTATTGCATGTGTATGCCACTGTGATTGTTCAATTGATTTTTGTTAAATTTTTTTTAGATAAAATTTTTAAGAATTTTACGGTGATTACATGCACTGAGATCGATACTCTTTTAGTTTGTGCTAACACCTCAATTTTGTTGTTAATTTTACTAAAATATTAAGTCAGATTATAACATAAAAATACATTCACAGAACCCCATGGTTTTTATCGTCTAGACAAAACTTGGAGGAGTTTATAAAAAGAAAATAATTACAACTTATGTCTCGTGACATAACATAATGAAATGAATTGAGTCGGAACACTTATAAAACATTATGACCCTAATGTTTGTGCATTTCAAGGAATACATATATGTATGATGATAATATGAGAAGAAAACACATAGTCATATACCTAATTCAATAATATAGAAACCATGTGCTAGAAAAGCAAAAGCAAGAAAGAACAGAAAGAAAGGAATGGTGTTTTGTGGAGTGAAAAAGAGATCAAGAGAAGGCGTCGTTCTTGAGAGAACAAAAGAAGGGAAGAGCACATGCATGTAATCTAATTATTTAAGCTGTCAAATCTTACAAATTATATATAATAATGTCGGATTGTAACATAAAATACGTACTTGTTTTTGACATGCAAAATCATTATTATTATTATTATTTGGTAATAACTCAATAATAATATCATACACCATGTTTGAACTTTTATGATACAAAAAAATTGATTGAAAATGATGTCAAATTACTAAGATAAACATGATGTTTTTGCATTGGTAAATTTTTGTAGTTAGATCCTATACTATACATAACTTGAGAGTTTTGTCTATCTATTCTAATTTGATCGATTTAAATTCTTATGCTTTTCGGATTAAAAATTTTGGTCCTAACTCAAATAGCATAAAGATTTATGATTGAATTATCGGAACTAAATCTATAATTTATGTATAAGTACTAATAATATAAATGACAGTTCCGATTGAGGATTTTAATATTTGTGGATATCTAATATGTTTTAGTGGATTTAAATATTATAAATTCAAATAATATTTAAATTTAAATACGAAAATTATTATGTGGTGCAAATTCAAAACATATGAATATATATATACACTATTGGATATGCATTATCAAAATCCTCATTACTCAGTAATGTGGAAGTAGATTTAGATATATATGAATTATTAGATGTCATTGGGTAGACACCGACATGGTGCACTTTATTTTCTTCCATTTAGAGAGATTTTTTAACGAGACTCATATTGATGCCCTGTTTTGCATGTGTTCGATCAATAAAACCATACAAAATCTCATTTTCAAAAAATATATATATATTTAGATTAGGACACATTTCAGAATTTGAAAAGTATAAGTTAAAAAATGATCAAATTAAATTAGAAGGATTAAATACATAATTTACACATTGTAAAGACTAATGGAAGAATTTTACCTTTTGCATTTCAACTGTCATGCATGGGAATTTTGATGTGAAGTGTTAAAAGTAGAAAGAACAAAAGAGGTGAAAAGCCCTAATGCTAGATTATAACCCATCAAGCTTGATGAATCATACATTTTAGCACCCACCCAAAGATGGAAATCCAGTTTAAATTTAGAAAAGTTAGTTCTATCTGGAACACTTGAGCAATAATTTAATGCAACGACCAACAACAAGGCTTACTTGCTAAGCAAATTTGGTACAGCTTAAACTGTAATCTAATAAACTTCTGTTATCAAAAAGCTTTTCCAATTTTTGTTTTAATTTGAAGGTTAATTATTTTTTCACTTTAAGAGCAGCTTCCAAATCAACTAACAATCAAAACAAAGAAGTAGGCGCCATAGCCACATCAATATCTCACTCACTTCACTTCATTGCATTAAAAGACCCCAACTTCCCTCTCAAGAGAATTAAAGATCATAAATTTTCTTCTCTTGTGCTCTCTGTTTCCCTCAATGCAGCCTGATGGGAGTTCAAATTCGAAGTTTGAAAGCTGAAGAATTTGAAGTTTAGTTGAAATTTGTTCCTGTAATTCTTTTCGTGCTCAAAGGATATTCAATTCTGCTTATTGTTCTCTGCATTTGGAATTTGGGTTTAAAATGAGGTTGGGTTAT